CTCACGGCCATTTGCTGACTAATGTCTCCAGCAGAGAAGAGCCACAAGCAAGTCCATGAATTATGGCTGGCTTTGACATTCTCTTATCAAGACTGTTTTTTATTTTAAGAATGTCTGCTCTGATTAAAGCCATTAGGGCTGGGAGCAAATAAAAATGTGTCTAAATTTTATGTCTCACATTTGCTCAGCAGGAACCCTGATGAAGCCTACATTTTAGTTCTTATACCACTAAGACAAGGGATGATTATTAACTAACAAATTAAGCTAGATCCTCCTCAACCACCTGGTTTGGGGTTCTAAAAAATCCTGTGGCAGGAGGCTTGTTGGTTGAGTCATAGTTTTACTTATTTATATCCTCTACTTTGCTGCAAAAATATTTTCATTTATTTATATACTCCTCTTTGCTGCAAAAATTATTTTAAAAGTAACTTGGTTGAAGAATGTGTTGGGGGGTGGGTCCCAGGTTGAGTGAACCTAGAAACATCCATATCAGCTTATTTTTATATTCACTAAACTAAAAAAGATTGCACAGTAAATATACAATACAAAAGTGACATTAAATTGTCCAAAATGGGAGACCTGATGATTATTTTCTGTTGGTTTACTACAAAGTATCAGCATTTCTTCCTCCTCAGCTTAACCATAGTTCTGTGGCTGATAGTTTGCATTCTTGAAACGTTCAGTGTTTTTCTGATTCTGTGATGTGAAATCATCGGGTCCCTCTGTGTTATTGCATTTCAGGGGTAACTTAGTGCTTGAAATGGAAGATGCCTTGAGTGTCTCTTGAATCCAGTTGGGACAGTGGAGTTGGTATTTCTTAAAACTTCCAGATCTTTCGGTTCTGCCCTTGACCACATTTCCGGGTAAAGTGTTTTTCTTTCGTCTGTCTTTGACCAGTCTTCTCTCAGTACCTCCACAGACAGGTCTCAATTGTCTTTTTATCAGCTTCCTTTCTCTCTTCCAAGCCTGCACTCTAAAAATCTCTATTCTTGTCAAGCTTTTGTCTTTGCGTTTCTCTTCTGTTCTCGATATGCCCAAGTCACCCCGTGTGTACTGAACTGAAATATCACATAGGGAGTAGTCATGGGGCAGATGTTATTGTACTGACTTTACAAAGAAGCATAAACAGGGCTACAATTAATGACAGCCAGTATTTCTTACTGTGGATAACGGCCTATGTATTATTAGTAGCCAGGACACACAGCCTGTACCTTATACATATAGACATGCCGTATATCAACTCTCTCCTATTGTCTATTAGCTTATATATGTCAAATATCCATAGATCAATAGATCATATTCTATTGACTCGTGTGTTTATTCCTAATCACTTTCTATTGAATGAAAGTTCTCAAACCTTGTTGGGGCTATTAGCCCACCAGAAACTTCCCACACCCCTCAGGGGATAAAGTAGGCTTTTCCATATTCTTCCCCTCAAGAATTTTTGAGCACCACTTTGACATCCTAAATAGATAAATAAATAAATATTAGCTTGAGAGCAAAGTTGTCACTACAGGCTCTCTGTATTCCTGTGCTGGACTGATGCACATTAACTGGTGAATTCTCTTTGATTTGGGAGATACAGAGCTATAGATGTGGGCGTGCGTATATGCCTGTATCTGTAAAAATGTTACTCCTCCATGCCGTCTCTGCAGCTAGGTTTGAAATCGTAGCCCAGTGTAGCTGCATTTTAATTTCTGGTGGAGAAAGCCTGTGAAGTTCAATTGCCTCTAGGCCTGGCTGAGTGACCTGCAAGTGAAATGATTTATTTTGTACTGAACCAAAGGCAAAGGGGGTGGGAGGTGCAGGGAGAACCGAAAAAATCCTTGATACTTGCCCTCACACATCCTGGAGTCCTCTGGGGGCCCAAGGCATGTGCTCGATGTGTGGCCCAACACATGCTATTTTGCAAGTCAGTGGGACACGCTCTGAGAAAGGCTGAGTGATGGGATAATTAGAACCAAGCAGACAGCGGGGTGGATGGTTTGTCTGCAGATAATAGTTTGTTTGCTAATTGCCAACACCAGATTTTCTGGGCAATTAGACATTTGGTTTCTTCCAAGACCTTCTGTGCAAATGTGGACACATGGCCGCAGGCGTTCCAGGTAGCAGGTGGAGAGAGGGTGGCTCCCAGGGCAGGATGGCACCTCTCTGCAGGCTGCCCAAGGCGCCTTTTTCAGGGCAGCCGTCTCGCCAACAGGTGGAAAGGCCCATCCGGCTAGGCCCCCTAGTGGAGAGGCCGAATTCTCCCTGCTTTTATGAACGGGGGTGGGAGATTAGCAAAGAAGGTCGAGTTTAGCAGGCTGGTCCAGGAGCCAGGCTATGTCTCCATTCTCTTTTCAAGAGCATTGAGCCAGGGGTGCTAAAAGGAATTGGAAAATACTTTACTTCTCAGATAAGCAAGTTGATTTTTTTTAATAAAATTTTTTTGTGTGTGGTAAAGTCTGTATAACATAAAATTTGCCATTTAACCATTTTTAAGTGTACACATCAATGGCATTAATTACATTCACAAGTTGTGCAACCATCACCACTATCTATTTCCAAAACTTTTTCATCACCCAGAACAGAAACTGTATTTCCCACTCCTCCTTCCCCTCAGCCCCTGGTTACCTCTAATCTACTTTCTGTCTCTGAATTTGCCTATTCTAGATATTTCATATAAATGGAATTATACAATATTTGTCCTTTTGTGTCCAGCTTATTTCACTCAGCATAATGTTTTTTTTAGGTTCTTCCATGCTGTAGATGTATAAGAATGTTATTCCTTTTTACAGCTGAATAATATTCCATTGTATGGATATACCACATTTTGTTTATCCATTCATTTGTTGGAACATCTTCTGAACTTGGGTTGTTTCCACTTTTTGGTGATTGTGAATAATGCTGCAATGAATATGCACATACAAGTATCTGTTTGAATCCTTGTTTTCAGTTCTCTTGGGTATACCTAGGAGTGGAATTGCTGGGTCAAGTGGTAATTCTATATTTGACTCTTGAGAAACCACTGATCTGTTTTCCACAGCAGCTATACCATTTTGCATTCCCACCAGATATATAAAAGGGTTCCAATTTCTCCACATCCTTGCCAACATTTGTTATTTCCATTTTTTTTTTTATTATAGCCAGCTAGTGAGTCTGAAGCAGTATCTCATAGTGGTTTTGACTTGCATTTCTCCAGTGACTAGTGATGCTGAGCATCTATTCACGTGCCTATTGACCACGTGTATACCTTCTTTGGAGAAATGTCTGTTTAAGCCCTTTGCCCAGCAAGTTGATTTTTTGCCTCTGTACTTACTTGCTCCTGCAATTTTCTCCCAGCAGTTGGAATTGAGCCTCATCAGGAGGAGAGAGACCATAGCCTGCAAAGAGGGGAGGTGGCTGAGCAGATTTGAAGCTTCGCATTCACTCTTTCATGATCCATTTCATCCCTCAGCCTGTTTGGCACCCACTGGAATAATACTGTTTGAGTTCTTACGAAGCAGGAAAAAAAAAATCAGTGAGCTTGTGGGATTAACTGAAGTGATTTGGCAGCAGAGGCAAATGGAGCCACTTCTAGTGCCGCCTAGAAGCAGATAGGCCTTTCTCAGACACCTCGTACCCTCTGGGTTTCCTGGACCACAAGTATTATTTTAGCAGATTACCCATTTTTTCCTACCAGGTATTAGGCTGTGTGCTCAATGGAGCAGTATTTGCAGAGCACCCAGAACGGCATCTGGTATTTGTGGGTGCCCAGGGTCTGGCCATCGTCTCCGCAGTGGGAGCCCTCAGTCCTTGCTCCACTGGTCTACTGGCCCTGCCAGTCCTGGGCAGGGGGCAGAGAGAGCAGTGTGGAGCTTCCAGCACCCACCAGGGACAGTGTGACTTTTCCGTGGGGGCTCATTCCTGGGGGAGAGCCGCTGGGCTCTGCAAGGTTTCAGAACAAATGTCTGAGTAATTGCAAAGAGCAGCAGGGCAGTCGACAGAATGATATTCCCGCTGCTTTGCTGTTGCTCCTTCTCCGCTTTGACCTCGTGTCTGCTGTGGGGCCTGTCTGCAGGGTCCAGGAATGCTAATCTACCTGTCTTTCTGCTGTGGTTTTTCTTATTGAATGTCAAAAACCTTCAGTGTCAATGAAGAGAGATGAGCTCACCATGTTCTGGCAGGGCCTCATGCCAGAGGGAGGGAAGAGGTGATGCATCCACTAAGCAAGGAAGTTCTTTCTGGAAGTTGCACTCATGTTCTATATTCCTACTATAGGGGTTGTTAATCTTTGAGGTGGGGTCTCACACTCCTTTGGGAACCTGAGGGCTGTGGATACTCTTCCAAGAAAGTGCATGTAAAAATTTGCACCTCATCTCAGGTGGCTACAGGTTCCTCTAGTCCATAATGGTGCCTGGGTTAAGAACTGGCTCTACAGAGGGCATGAGCCAGGAGCTGAGGCCATCTGGGGACTGGGCAGCATCTCTGCTGAGTGGGAGTTGTGTGGTACATAGTGAGAGGCCTGGTGGTCACTGGGAGAAAATGAAAGTCTCATTTGGTCAAGTTTTAAATACTAAATTTACAGAGGGTGCCAGAACAGATACCCTACCTTTGTGGCTGGGGTTCAGCCTTGCCTACCACGTTGGCTGGCTTTCCAGAGACAACAGTGTCTGTAGGAGCAAAGCCACACAGCACTCCTGTCTGCTCCCTGAGTCAGCCTATACCATTTCTTTTTCTTTTTTCTTTTTTTTTTTTGCTGAGGAAGATTAGCCCTGAGCTAACATCTGTTGCCAATCCCCCTCTTTTTTTTTGCTGAGGAAGATTGGCCCTGGGCTAACATCTGTGCCCATCTTCCTCTATTTTATATGTGGGATGCCTGCCACAGCATGGCTTGATGAGTGGTGCGTATGCCCGCCTCTGGGATCCGAACCTGCAAACTCCCGGCTGCCAAAGCAGAACACAAGAACTTAACCACTATGCCTCCAGGCCAGCCCTAGCCTATACCATTTCTGAGGAGTGTACTTTGTCTTTCCTTTCAGAAACGGCCCCCGCATCTGCATATTCATCTCCAGCCCGGAGTCTGGGGGACACAGGAATAACACCTCTGTCTCCTTCCCATGTTGTGGTAAGTAATGTGTATATATGTGTGTGGGAGGGTGTGTGCTGATTACCTTTGCTTCCTTGGGTCTGCTCTCACATGACAGGCTGCTGGGCAGCCTCTCACGTTCATGGGTGGAGAGTAAATTTAACTGGTCCTAGCTGTGTGAGCCCTGCCAAGCCCCTTCCCCACTCTGGGCCTAAAAAGGCTTTCTGTGGTGTGGCTGGTGCTTCTGGAGCCATTTGCCTGAGTGGGTAAGATGAGCAGGCAGAGTGGGAGCAGCCCTTTAAAGATTCAGGGCTCAGAGACTGCGAGGCATCCTCTTGGAAGGAAGCAGCCACATCTGACCCATGAACTGCATCAGTGAAATGCAGTGGCTTTGTTGACTGCAGTGAACTGCTGTGTCCAAAGGCCTGTGGCTGTGTAATTGCTCCTGCAGCAGCTTGCCTGGGAGAGAAGTCCTGAGCAGTGAGGGGGCTGGAGACTGGGCTGTGGCTCCCTCCTTATCCCACACTAAAAAGATGGGTGTCGTGGGGCAGCCATTCAAGGCACATACATGAGAAAAGTACCTGGAGGAAAGGGCGGCTTTGCATGAACTGCTCAGATCCACAGAGAACACCCCACTGAGAAGAATTTCGGAGCCATCACTAGGTAGGGGCGCCAGCTGGTTCTGGTTTTCCTAGAACAGTCCGGGTTTTACACAGAAGTCCTGCATCCTGGAACTCCCTCAGTCCTGGGAAAGCTGGGAGGCTTGGTCACCTACGGCCAGGTCCTGTGGTTTTCACACTCCGTACCCTGAGAGTCCCCTGTGTGAGCTTCAGGGTCGCCTTGGGGTGTGTGGGGACGGGGGAGCAGTGTGAGGAGAGGCCAGATGGGTGGGGCCCACCCCCTGCTCTAACCAATACTCTTCAAACCCACTGTTTATTGGTTTATAATTTGAAGTTCTATGGATATTAAAAACAAAGTCTACACCTCTTAAAAACAAAAAAGGTCTGGAAACTTGGAATGGCCTGACCCACTCACTTGATGAGGAGAGGCTCTGGGCCCCCCAGGGGACGGGACACACCAGGGTCATGTGGCTGGTTATGGCAGGACCAGCCAGGGTCCCCAGTATGCCAAGCCCTGCTCCCATGCGTGACATGCCCGAACAGATGGAGTGGTCACTTGGGAGCTGTATAGGGCACAGCTGGCAAAGTGTTCTGGGCAGGGTCTAGAGGTCTGCACAGGGACCTGGGGAGGGCAGCAGGGGGAAGATTGTGTCACTCGGAATCCCTAGGCTTCTGGCCTAGGTAGAATTTCCGTAATTAGCCACTTTCATGCACAGTTGATAAAGGGAGTGGTGGGCAAGCTGTAGGCAGGTGCCCTCACCCGGTCAGCCTGGCCCTCCACACAGGGGACACCTCCATTTCTCCCTGAGCCACTCAGGTCGGGGCTGAGGCTGGCCTGCCCTCTTCCCAGGGCTCACCATGTGGCAGACTTGAGCCAGCATGTGGGATGTCCTCTGTCTGCAGTGGGTGCACAGCTGGGCAGGGTGGAACCACCTGGGCTTGGCCCCCCCACCCCACCTCCGTACCTCACTCTGTGTATCTGCAGAATGATGCCGACTCGAATGTCTCGGAGCAGCAGACGTTTCTTGTGGTGGTGGCCGTCGACTTTGGGACCACTTCCAGCGGCTATGCCTACAGCTTCACCAAGGAGCCAGAGTGCATCCATGTGATGAGGTGAGCGCTGTGGGCGGGGAGGGGCATGTGTGGTGCCAGTCACCCCCCCTTTGGAGCCTTGGGGAGGGCCCTGGGGAAGGGGAAAGGGGTTAGTTCAATGAGCAGGTGAATGGCGCTTAGTAGGTGGGTCCTGGATTCTGGCCCAGCTCAGCCCAAACTCACTGTGCGACTTTAGGCAAGCCACTTCTGATCTCTGGGCTCCAGGTTCCTGGTCCGTAAAGAGTTGGTTTAATTCTGACTTAGTTAGTCTGGGGAAGAGCCTGGACAGCATGTTTGAAAGCTGGCCTGGGTGATTCCAGCGGGCAGCCTGGGCAAGAGGCGCTGACTTAGAGGGTGTCTGTGATGGAGGAGATCTAGGCGCTGGCTCGGCCATTTACTGTGTGACCTGAGGCAATTGCCAAACCTTCAAAACATCAGTTTCCTCATCTGTGAAATGGGGATAATGATAGTACCTGCCTCACAGAGTGTGTGTGCAAATGAAATGAGATCTCCTGTCATGTGCTGAGCACAGAGTAAAAAGCAAGTAGGGAAGGTGCTCGTTCTTCCAAGTGAAGAAAAGTCACGAGATGACAGTAGAAGCAGAAAGCACCATGCCTGAGATAAAGCAGAGTGGGGTGAGTTTCAGCCAGTGAACCTAAAGGGTCACCCTGAGGTTGCCCTTGGTTTCCTGGGACACACTTTGTGCTGGGGACACTCCCTGCCCGCCCACCCCCAGGCAGACAGCAGCTGAGCACACCCTCACATCCACCCCATCCACGGATCCACTGTCTACAAGGACTCTGGTCTCTCCTGGCACCAACGCTGGCTCCCCCATGCATGGCCTTCCTGCAGGGTCTGCGGCCCTCAAAACTTTGGGAGCTAGGGATTTATCACCCTGATTTTCCAAATCCAAGGGTGGCTCTGAAGACACATGGTGATTGGCTTTGCAATCCCTTCATCTGGTGACTGTGGAATTTAGTTATCGCTCCCAGAGTCAGATCTTACGCACTTTCATAGAGCGCTGTTTAAAACATGAGTCATAATAAAAGTGATCCCCACCCCGATCTTGGTATAGGCCCTGCCTTTCCTCTGGAAAACTGGATGCCCCAAGAGGCTCCAGAGATCTGTGGGGTCGTCTCATCAGGAGATAATGAAAAGCCAGTTCTAGTAGAGACCCCTGATGACAGCATAGCCCTTGGTGTTCAGTCACCAGCAGGATTCTGCCTCCGGTGAGCTAGACAGATGCAGTGAGGGGCTACCCTGCCATCCCCTGAGATGAAATCCCTGGATGGAGAAGAGCACACTTAAAAGCTAGAATCAGTGTTTATCAGCTTCTGCGTAATTGGTTTATGAAATGTTATTTCAAAAGGATGGTCATGCAATAAAAATTGGAAAAAAAAAAAAAAAAAAGAAGAGCAGAAATAACGTTGAACTTGCTTGGGAGGGATCCTTCCAAGCATCAGCAGGGTCCAGGGCTCCAGAGATGTTATCTTAGTGATTATGGAGATTTTGGAGTGAGGTTCTATCTGAATTTTATTTCAGCCAGAACATATTAATATAACATGATACAGACCGACAAAGTTATAAATGAGAAAGTTTAACTTTCTGTATTTAAATAAGAATGAAGGAATAAAAATTTGAAGGGAAAAAAACTCAGGAGGTTCTTTACCTGCTGAACCTGTCAATGTTAATAGGAATGGAAAGTCCATTTGTGAAAGGTTGTGTCTGGAGCGCACCCCTGGCCTGGGCGCCCCATGTCTGCGTGGTATGGTGACCATCCCCGTGTCTCAATGGGGTCACCACGGGAACTTCAGCTCTCTGGGTAGAAGCCTGAATCCTGATGGAGCTTGACTGGGAAACTGGCCAGGGATGACTCCAGACCCATCTGCACGGCAAGTCTAGGTGGAAGTTGGCTCTCCATCTGGACTGTGATGGTCCCACTGAAGTGTCGGGAGCAGGTGTGAGCCCTGCCAGGAGTGCAGCCACCTCCTGAGTGGGCCAGGGGAGAGGCGTGCTTCCCCTCATGTACTGTGTCTCCACCGGCGGCTGCTCTTAGGGGTGGCATGGCTAAGAGGCAGGACAGGAGCCAGCTGCAGGGCCAGGACCTGGTAGAGAAGAGAGCATCCTGGCCTCTTGGCAGCGTGGCTTCTCTGCTGTGGCCCCAGAGGAGGGCGAAGCCTCAAGTCACCTGCCCTCTCCACTCTCCTTCCTTTACTCCTTCTTTCTATCTGAGAGAAGGAAGGAAGCTTCTCTGCAGCTCAGCCCACCTCCTGCCCTGCTCCATCGTCCCTCCCATCAGTTCCGGGGTGTAATCTCATTGTATCTGCCTGTACGCACCTCTCCTCTCTTCTGGCTCCTCTTCAGCCTACAGATGTGCAGGACCTAGTCCCTTCCCTCCTCACTGTTTCTGTCAGAGCTCTCATGCCAGCTTGTCACTGTGGCTGTCACCCCAATATGGAGGCGACCAGGTCTGTCTCCTGCCTGCATCTCTTCTGTGAACTCCAGGCTCGCATCTTCACTGCCCCCTCCCCGGGACTTTAGTGCTAGCACTTTCAAATGGAGCTCCCCACATTCCCTGCAGCCTCCCTCTACGCCAGGGCTCCTGCTGTCTGTGAGGGGCACTCTCCCCTCTAGGCTCCCAAGCTTGAACCTCTGGGGTGCCTTGGCTCCTGCTAACCACTACAGCCATTTGGCTTGGTGTCCCCTATGGGTGGCTCGTCCCCGCTCCATCCCCTCTCTTTCTTCTTTGGCTCTCTACCCTTGTTTGAGCTCTCTCACTTCTGCTCCCAGAGGAGGCCTGAGCCGCCTCCTCAGCCTTCTGGCTTCCTGTCTCCCTCTCTTTGGTACAGTTTGTTCTGGTCAACAGCAGCTCTGATTCTGCCATGCACCTGCTCTAAAACCTTTAGTGGCTCCCCATTACTCACTAATTAAATCTCTCAAGGGTTTCCTCAGCCTGGTTCCAACCACCCTCACAATCTTGTTTCTCACACTTCCCGTTTATACAATCACTCTTCTCACTTACACACTCTTTCTTTAACCTGCACAATCACTTAGCATTCCCTGTACATGCTCTGTGCTTGCCCACCTCTGAGCAGCCTGCAGTGTCCTTCCCTCCTTCAAGATCCGCTTGTCTGTCACTCCTTCAAGTCTCTCCTGAGCTCTGCCCCACCAGCTGGCACCTCTGCCTTCTCTGACCCCTCATTTCCATCTGATAAGGCAGATATTTATGTGTTTATATCCTACTTTGTTTCAAAGAGGATTCAAATCAGCTTTACATCTGCTATTGAGTGCTTGCAAATTAAAAAACCAAAAAACCGTTACCTACTAGGTTGTGAGTTATCTGAAGGCAGAGACATGCTTGTTTTGTCTCTGCGTCACCAGCACCTGGCACTCTGTGGAAGGGCAGTAAACGCTGAGCAAGAACCTGGCACTGCCCCTTTCTTTTTTCTTTTTAACTGAAGTTCTGTCTCTAGTCGCTACTCAACCCACTGAACCAGAGTGCACCTGTAGCAGCAGCTGTGAGTACCCACATCTGTAACAGTCATGCACACAGTAGGTACTCAAGTCAGGGCTGACTGAACTGGGATTGCAAAAGAAGGTCCCATAACCTCTGCCTTTCCTTGGTGGCAGGCGATGGGAAGGAGGGGACCCTGGGGTGTCCAACCAGAAGACTCCAACCACCATCTTGTTGACCCCCGAGAGGAAATTCCACAGCTTCGGGTATGCCGCCAGGGACTTTTACCACGACCTGGATCCCAGCGAGGCCAAGCAGTGGCTGTACCTGGAGAAGTTCAAGATGAAGCTGCATACCACGGGGGTAGGCGAGCCCCTCTCTGGCCCCAGGTCCTCCGCATTAGAGAGCGAAGCTTCCTCCAGCCTTGGGGGCAGGGATCTTTCCAACCCAGGGGGCCCTCAGGTTTCTCCCGAGCAGAACTGGATGTCCATTTACCCTGATTTTAGAAACAGCCTGGAGCACACAACACTTTTGTGGAGTACACTGCACTCTCTGATGTACACGTGGGCAGGGAGATGTTGAGAATGTTGAACAACTTGTTTGCCTTGGAGGCTGAGTGATGAGAGGGCTGGGGGCTCCCTGCTGGGCCAGAAGATCCCCTCCAGGTGCTGGATTGTTGGGAGATGGGGGGATCCTGAAGGAGGGACTCGGGGGCTGGGGGCATTTGGTGGGCTCATGACAGTAGCTCTTAACTAACCAGTTTGGAAGTAACAACCAGTAACAACTGGCCCGTTAACTCTCTATGTGGGGAGGGAGTAGCTCAGGAAATCAAGGGCCCAATAAGTGGAGGTCCAGCTCCCAAAGCAGTTCTGCTCCAGCATGCCCGTGTTCTGTGAGACATCTGTGTCAGTTAGGGCCCCGCCCCAAAGCTTCATGGAAAAGGTTGGGCCAGAGGATAGAGTTTTCTCACTTTAAGCATTTTAGCCCTTAAATTTTCCTTAACTCTCGATACTTAGAGATGCAGGATGGCAATAGTGTTTAAGATCATGGACTCTGGGGCCAGACGGCCTGGGTTTAAATCCTGCCTCTGCCACCTCTGAGATACTTAATCCAAGTCACTTAACCTCTCTGTGCCTTGTTTTACCTTATCTGGAAAATGGAGACACTGATAATGCCTTCTTCATGGGGATGTTGTAAGGGTTAAGTGAATGAAAATACACCAAACTCTTAGAACCGGGCTACTTCTTAGTTAAGTTCTAGTCAATTGCTGGCTCGTATTATTATTGCTTTTATTCGCTTTTAAGTGTGTGCAGATGACAAAACAAATGTTAATGGAAGCCCAGCAGCCAGCACCCTGCCTTCCGAGGCTCTGTGCTCGTCGCTGTGGTTGTCCCTCTCTGAAGCGGACCGACTTCTGCTAGAAACGCACCCTTCCCATTTCGCCTGGTGGGATTCAGTGCCGAATAGCAGTCTTGTGCAAGTGGGAGCACAGGAATTTTTTCACTTGGAGTTCTTTTCAATTCTGAGCCCCTGGCTTCCTGGTGCTTGGCCACCTGTCTGAGCCTGGGAGCCATCGCCCAAAAGCTGGGGTGTCTTTGCTGAGCATCAGGGGTAGGAGGTGGCTGGTTGGGAGGAGTGAGCTTGCGTGGATGCGTCAGGATGACTGACAGGCTCCACGAGGCTGGTTTAGCAGCTTGATGCCCCTTCACGCTCCAAAGCAAAGCCTAATTACCCTGTCTGGATCAGTCTGAAGCCCCACTGATTTTTTTCCCCTGGTAGTAACGAGCCTGTTGGTTCTGGGAGATTTGGGCGCTTCCTTCTGATGTTTGATCCCACCTGCTCATTCTCACCGCGCGGGGACTTTTCTCGTCATTTTTTAATGACCTCAGTGAATCCAGCCTCTCACAGAGCATCCTCCACCCGAGGACCGCACTCAGCTGCTGCTTTCGCTTCTGGCGGAGGAGGGGAGGCAGCGATGCTGGGCTCCCAGTGGGTTAGACAGCGCAAGCCTTAAAATAGGAGCTCTTCTATTTTGGTGACTTGGTTGGCAGCTCATTGAGGAATGAAAGCTTCATGTCTGTTTAGCATCATGCACGTCAGCGAGTTGGCGTGATTATTTAGGCCTCCATTAGGGGGACTCCCAAGGGTGACCAAGTGTGTACGAGTGTGGAAACAGTGTGTAAACTGCACGGGGAGTGGCGCCTGCTGCCTCTTCTCTCTTCCTGGGCTCTGGCGCTGCCCGAAAACCTCACTCCCAGAGGACCCAGGAGAGAGAGAGCGAGAAAGAGGGAGGGAGGGAAGGAGGGACAAGTGAAGGTGGGGCTGAAGGGACAGCCAGGCCCCCTACACAGAAGGGGACAATGCTGCCAGGCCCATCTCGGGGGACAAGCCATCCTATTCTGCTCCTGAAACATCGGGAAACACAAATATGGCTCACGGGGTTCACCAAATCTCCAAGGAGCAGCTCCCAACGCCAGAGGGTATGTCTCTCCTTCGTCTTCTGACTGTTTCGTCCTTCTCCTCCTATCAGGACCTCACCGTGGATACAGACCTGATGGCAGCAAACGGCAAGAAAGTCAAAGCCCTTGAAATCTTTGCCTACGCCCTGCAATACTTTAAGGAGCAGGCACTGAAGGTAGGACACAGGCCAGTGCCTGGGGGAGGAGGTGGTGCACCCGCCAGCGAGGGGAGCAGGTCCGGCCTTGAGGGAGAGAGTATGGGCTTTGAACTCAGAAAGCAGATGCACCCTCATGCAGTGCTGATGGGAATGGAAAATGGTGCAGCTGCTGTGGAAAACAGGCTGGCCGGTCCTCCAAAGGTTAAACACAGAGTTACCATATGACCCAGCAATCCCACTCCTAGGTATATACCTGAAAGAAATGAAAACATATAGTCACATAAAAACTCGTACATGAATGTTTATAGCAGCACTATTCATAATAATTAAAAAGCAGAAACAACCCAAATGCCCATCAGTGGATGAATGGGTAGCTAAATGGAGTCTATCCATATAATGGAATATTACTCAGCTATAAAAAGGAATGAAGTACTGACACATGCTACAGCATGGATGAACCTTGAAAACATTATGCTGAGTAAAAGAAGTGAGATACAAAAGGCCGCATACTGTATTATTTTCATTTGTATGAAATGTCCAGAAGAGGCAAATCCATAGAGACAGAAAGTAGACTAGTGGTTGCCAGGGGCTGGGGGGAGTGGGAATGAAGGATGACTGCTCCAGTGTATGGGTTTCTTTCTGGGGTGATGAAATTAGACAGTGGTGATGGTTGCACAACCCTGTGAATATAGTAAAACACACTGAATTTTACGCTTTAAAAAGGTGAATTTTATGGAAATTATATCTTAGTAAAAAAAACAGTAAGAAAGAAAGGCAGGAGACACATGTGGCAGCTGTGAGATCTTGGGCGAGATGCTTAATCTCTCCGATACCCACGCTCCTAACCTGAAGAGGGGGGCAGGTACTGTACCTTGTGGGTCGTTTGACATGAGATGAAATATTAGACGTGAAGTGCCTCCCTCAGGGCCTGGCACAGAGTAAACACCTGGTAAATGGTGGTGGCTGTCCCTCCTCCTCCTCCTCTATGCCCCTGCCAGATCCCGTGGAAGAAGCTGGTGTGTGAGCCCCTTGAATGGCACTTGCAAAGGTTTGTGCAGTGATGGCCCAGAATGTGGAAAACCGCTGATTTCTAAGTGGAAGGTAGCTGTCCAGTCAGTGTCTCCTCCCGTGGGCATGGAGATGAGTGGGCGTAAAATAGATGATTAAAGCCTTGTGTATTAACTTTATCCTTTTTTCTCCCAAAAAGAATTGGGAACTTGGGAAGCATTCTGTATTATGTGATCACTAGAAAAAATTTAGTGAATTCTAGAAATAGATAGATGAGAATTCTAGAACTAGGGCTAGAAGGAGACAAAGAAGGAGAACATTAATACTGCTTTCATCCACTTAAGTACCTTCTTTTTTTTGGAGTACTTTCTATTTGCCAGGTCCTGTACAAGTTCTGACAGTGTAGAAATGAACACAGTACGAAGGAGTATGCAATCAGTGGGTCAGCGTTGTTGGGGGGTAACTGTGGGTGTTCAGTGAAGGCAGAGCTCCTGCCCCATGGGCAGCAGCAGGGAAGGTTCCCTGGAGGAAGTGGATTGGGGGCCTCTCTCAGGCAGCAGCTAGAAGGGCGGGTGTTTCAAGCTGGTGGAATGGCACAAGAACAGCTCAGGGGAAAGAAAACACAGCCAGCATTGTGGGAAGTGGCAGTTTGTCGTGGGAGAAGGGCAAGGCTGGGGATAGAGTGGGGACAGCGTGCTCGGGACGAGATTGTGCGGAGCCTCAAATGCCAGGCTAAGCAACTTCTTGGGTAATGGGGAGCCAAAGGATTTCTAGCAGGGAATGCCATGGCCGCAGGGATGGTGTTAGACGGAGGGAGACCCTAGAGTCCCGAGGACCTGTAGGGTGGGGGAAAGCCGTGTGGAAGCAGCTGGCTCAGATCCTGAAGCAGGTTTGTCTGAGGGCTGAGGGTGAGGCTCTGAGGCGCAGAGAACAGTGGGCTCATCTGGGGAACATGGAACCAGGAAGAGAGAGGGGGTAAGGGGAAGAGACGAAGTGTTTCCTGGGAAAAAATGCTTCCACCAGAGAGGGAGAGGGGAGAGGGCTGAAAGGAAGTGGAAGGAGAGGGGCTGGTTCGCTTTCAGGAAGACGGTGACCAGACGAAGGCAGGAGTGTAGTGAGGCCTGGGGGAAGCAGAGCGCCATTGTTCCAGGCAGCAGCAAAGCAGGAGAGGCGGCGCACAGAGAGGGGACCTCTGTCAGCTGAAGAGCAAGGGTCCCAGAGGGTCGGGCTCAGCACCTGGTGGCCCAGGCGGCCAGGTGGAGGCCCGTGTGCCTGTACCACACGTGGCAAGTCTGAGAAAGATGAAGGGCCAGAGGGAGGCAGAGTACCTGGGGGGCCTCCGGATTGAGAGGAGCAGCCATGGGGCCTCGGGGAAAATTTAGGACTTGAGAAAGTCCACGACATTGGAGCGTGTTTCAAGTTGGCAGAGAGGAAAGGCGTGAACAGCCCATCTCAGAAGGGGAGGGAGGAGGTGCATGGGGCCGAAGGTCACACAGGGACGTGGGTGGGTGGGTGGGTGGTTGTGAACATGTCAGCTCAGCCAGAGGCTCCAGGAATCTGCTAGCACCTTCTCCCAGCAGGGAACATGTTGTGAAGAAATTCTGTGAAGAAAAGCTGTTTGAGGAGATTTATAGGAACGAGGCTCTTGACAAGAGGGCTGGCTGGTATTTGAGGGACAAATGGATTCAGAGGAGGGGATTATTGCATGTTGGACCAGAATAAGCTACAGTAGAATATCTCAGAAATCACAGACATGGCGCAGTCTCGTCCTTCAGGAAGGAAGCAGGTGAGAGTGGCTGACGTGATGAGGGCTTCTCTTAATGCCAGGCTCCTTTCCCTTCCACGCTGTTCTCCATCCACTGGCGATCAGACAGCTTATCTAAACAACTCTCCGCGTAGCCGAGGAAGCCCATCAGTCATGTTCAAGCCTCTTCTGTTCAGAGAGTTTAAAATAGCCTGGATGGGGCCGGCCCTGTGGCTTAGCGGTTAAGTGCGTGCTCTCTGATGCTGGCGGCCCGGGTTCGGATCCCGGGCGCACACCGACGCACCGCTTCTCCGGCGACGCTGAGGCCGCGTCCCACATACGGCAACTAGAAAGCTCTGCAACTATGACATACAACTAACTACTGGGGCTTTGGGGTGAAAATAAATAAATAAATCTTTAAAATAGCCTGGATGGTGAGAGGCGGCATGCTTAGAGTCCTTCTCAGCTCACAGCATGCGCTCACCTGCTTTTAAAGCCCAATGCAGACCTGCAAGGCAATAAAACAGGATAAAAAACAAAAACAGAAAAATGGCTGTTTCACGTTGGCCTAAAGCAGAGATGTTTTTTTAAAACATGTCAAAAAAAAGTTTACTAAATGTACTTAACACTCCTGAACTGTACACTTAAAAATGGTTAGGACGGTTAATTTTATGTTACATGGATTTTATCACAATTAAAAATGAAAAAATTTTAAAAGGAAAAAGAAAGTTTACTGATGAAAGAGGAAGTTATTTCAGTGAGAGGCTGAGTGAGTCCCAAGAAAACTATTTGAAACAACAAGGAAAAAGGAGACACCTGTCAGGAAAAAAAAAGAAATCGCCAGCCTATTAATCTCCTGAAACGTGTCCCCAGAGCTGAGTGTGATGCAGAAGCGCTTTAGTGTGAGTTTAGGTTTGATTTCAGATTTGTCTGGTGAATGTGGCAACAGAGGGAGGAGAAGGAAGGAAGGAACATTTATCAGAGGTCTTCTCTGGCCTGGACGTTTCGCTGTGTATTCTCATTTAATCTTGCCAGTAATGCCGTGGGTTAGTTTTATCCTCCCCATTTTACAGATGGGAATATTGAGTCTGAGAACTAGTCCAGAGACATATTTTGGCTACATGGACCTGGTGGAAACCTCTGATCTTCAGCCCATCCCATCTATCCACATGGGCCCCACCGGTGTGGTTTAACCTTCACCAAAGGTTAAGGGCAGCATGGTTCTTGCCTAGGTCATGTCGTTCACATCCTTTCCGTCCTGCCAGGAAAACTCCCCTGATCTGCTGGGCTTGCTGTAAGGTAGATGACAGTGACAACGTGGACAGCAACTGCCACCACGGTTAAGTATTAGTGTGGGCCAGGCACTGTTCTAGATACAAGACCACTTGTAACAACTTAGGTAAGACCTTGGCCTTCAGAGTCAAGATGGACCTGGGTCTGGCTCCAAATTTTGACTCTGCCACTTTCTAGCTGTGTAGTCATCAAAAAGATACTGAACATATCTAGGCCTTAGTTTCCCATCTGTACAAAGGGGCACAGTTATTTATTATTATTTTTTTTTTCAATTATTTTATTGAGGTCATATTGGTTTATAACATTGGGTAATTTCAGGTGTACATTGTTATATATCAGTTTCTGTATAGACTGCATCGTGCTTACCCCCAATAGTCTAGTTTTTATCTGTCACCATACATATGTGCCCCTTCACCCCTTTTGCCCACCCCCCACCACCCCCATCACCTCTGGTAACCACTAATCTATTCTCTTTATCCATGAGTTTATTTATCTTCCACATGTGAGTGAAATCATATGGTGTTTGTCTTTCTCTGTCTGACTTATTTTGCATAACATAATACTCTCAAGGTCCATCCATGTTGTTGCAAATGGGATGATTTTGTCTTTTTTATGGCTGAATAGTATTCCATTGTGTGTATATATATACCACATCTTTATCTATTCATCACTTGATGGGCACTTGGGTTGATTCCACATCTTGGCTATTGTGAATAGTGCTGCAGTGCACATACGGGTGCATAAATCTCTTTGAATTGTTGATTTCATGTTCTTTGGATAAATATCCAGTAGTGGGATAGCTGGATGGCATGATATTTCTGTTTTTAGTATTTTGAGAAATCTCCATACTGTTTTCCATAGTGACTGCACCAGTTTGCATTCCCACAGCAGTGTAAGAGGATTCCCTTTTCTCTACATCCTCTCCAAAGTTTGTTATTTTTTGTCTTGGTAATTCTAGCCATTCTGACAGGCATAAGGCGATATCTCATTGTAGTTTTGATTTGCATTTCCCTCATAATTAGTGATGTTGAACATCTTTTCATGTGCCTGTTGGCCGTCTGTATATCTTCTTTGGAAAAACGTCTGTGTAGATCCTCTGCCCATTTTTTGATCAGGTTGTTTGTTATTTTGTTGTTGAGTTATATGAGTTCTTTATATATTTTGGAGATTAACCATTTGTTGGATATATGATTTGCAAGTATTTTTTCCCAGTTGGTGGGTTGTCTTTTCGTTTTGTTGATGGTTTCCTTTGCCTTGCAGAAGCTTTTTAGTCTGATGTAGTCCCATTTGTTTATTTTTCCTTTTGTTTCCCTTGCCTAAGTAGACATGGTATTTGAAAAGATGCTGCTAAGACCAATGTCAAAGAGTGTACTGCCTGTATTTTCTTCTAGGAGTTTTATGGTTTCAGGTCTTACATTCAAGTCTTTAAGCCATTTTGAGTTAATTTTTGTGTATGGTGTAAGATAATGGTCTACTTTCATTCTGTTGCATGTGGCTGTCCAGTTTTCCTAACACCATTTATTGAAGAGACTTTCCTTTCTCCATTGTATGTTCTTTGCTCCCTTGTTGAAGATTAGCTGTCCATAGACGTGTAGGTTTATTTCTGGGCTTTCAATTCTGTTCCAGTGATCTGTGTGTCTGTTTTTGTGCCAGTACCTTGCTGTTTTGATTACTATAGCTTTATAGTATATTTTGAAGTCAGGGATTGTGATGCCTCCAGCTTTGTTCTTTTTTTCTCAGAATTGCTTCAGCTATTTGGGGTCTTTTGTTGTTCCATATAAATGTTAGGATTCTTTGTTCTGTTACTGTGAAGAATGTCATTGGGATTCTGATTGGGATGGCATTGAATCCGTAGATTGCTTTAGGTAACGTGGACATTTTAACTATGTTTTTTCTTCCAATCCATGAGCATGAAATATCATTCCATTTCTTTATACCTTCTTCAGTTTCTTTCAATAATGTCTTATAGTTTTCAGTGTATAGGTCTTTCACTACAAGGGGCACAGTTATAATCCCTTCCTAACAGGATTCTTCACTGGGTTAATGGAGGTGAGGTATGCAAAGTGCTTAACAAGGTTATACACTGTAAGCTCTCAGTAAATGTAGCTCTCAGAAAATGATCAATCCTCCCAACAAGTTTATGAGCTAGGTATTCTTATCCGCATTGTACAGATGAGGAAACTGAGGCCTGAGAGGTTGTCACATGCCCAAATTCACATGACTAGGAAGTGGCAAAGGCCTCTGATCTGCTTGCCTCCTGCCTGCCGTCATGTTCAGTGAGTGAAAGGAGCTAGGAGCTCACTGCTTGCTGACTATTCAGAAAACGGACCCTGGTTTGTTCAGGAGGCTGTGGCATAGACGCCCCAAGAGTTCATGGCCAGGAAGCCTGGATTCTCAGCAAAGCCGCAGGAAGCCACGTCCTCAGGGACCAGCTATGTTCACTTGACCTGCTACATTTTCCTTGGCTTTAGGAGCTGAGTGACCAGGCAGGTTCGGACTTTGAGAACTCTGATGTCAGATGGGTCATCACGGTGCCTGCCATCTGGAAACAGCCCGCCAAGCAGTTCATGAGACAAGCTGCCTACCAGGTGAGTGTGGGGGTAGGGGGGTCCAAGATGGCCATGGTGGTGGCTGTCCCCCCTCTCGGTTGTCCCCCAGCATTCACAAGCCTCCTTGGGAGGCAGTGAGGGGTCTCCCACAGGCAGGGAACCAGGAGCCTTCCCATCCCTCAGCTTCCTCCTGCAGGAGGAACAGGGGTCAGACCCAGAGGGGAGGAGCTGGGCTGGGTCTTCCTTCTGGCTTTATGCATTTCCAGGTCGTGTGTCTGCTGTAGATTCTCTGGGACTAGGATTTCAAGCTGGGGCTCAGAGACATTTCTCCATGGGTGAATGGAAGTGAGAACCTCAGGGAAAAGCCTTGGGAAACAAGAATATTTGAATACGGAAGGAATAAAGACAAGGCCAATGGCCACGAACCGGGCAGATCAGCTTGGAGGCTGAAAGCTGCTCATGTGCAGCTGGGAAATAATGGAAAGACAATTGTGCACATCGTGCACATTGTACCTTATGAGCAACGAAGAGCAGGTATGCTCGCCCCAGAGAGGGGTGATGGCTGCCAGACCTGCGTGGTGGCAGACACCCGGATGAGGGCAGTGGCTTGGTGAAGGAGCATGCAAGTCACCATGGCACCAGAGCATTCCAGTGCCAATGGCCAGCCCATCCCTTGTGGGCGCTGAGGGTGCCACAAACCCCCATGGCTTCCAACCTTCACGCTGTTTGCAGACAACTTGTGCCACGACGGGGCTCCCGTGAGAGTCTGCTTCATCGCAAGCATGACTGGCTGTACTGACCTGCTGTTCTGATCCCCAGGACAGAGCAGGCTCCTGTTGTACTTAATCCCCCTCAATGAACGCCCACCCTGGGGCCTGGGTCAACTCTCTGTGCGCTGAGAGCCAGCTTTCAGAGCCTTCAACCTGAGCTGGGCTGGGGAAAGTCACCAGGGTAATAGATGTCCCCTTACCCCTGCCATGCCTCTCAGGAGACAAGCACCTTTTCCAGGGGACATACCTGACGGTGAGTTTGTGGCCACGTGTATGAAGCTTTCCTCTCAAAACATCCACCAAATCAACCCTGAGCACCGGATATAGTGAAATGGCCCTGGGCACCTTGGTGTCGTGAATTGAACTCGATGCCTAGGGCTTTACTCCAGGGGGCAGGTAGAGCTCAAGGAAGGGCAGTGTCCCCTCCTTTCACTCTGTCCCGTTCCCTTCCCTCCCCTGCCCCAGACTGTCTCCTCTGCTCTCCCCTTCCTCTGTTCAGCGTGAGAATCTGGCTCAGTCTATGTATCTGCCAAAAATAGATTTGTTTTTCTAGGGATGAAGGAAGAGGGTGGAAGTTCCAGAAGGAGGCAACTTCTGTAAAAAGGAAGAAACACAAGTGCAGTGTAGCTGTCTACAGAAGCCCTGGGCATCCTGGAGCTTTGCCGTAGTGTCATCCTCAGGCAGTATCTAAAGACGGGACGCCGGGACACGCTGTCTACAAAGACACGGCCCAGCATTCGGAGTTTTTCCCAGGAAGGATACTCAAGATTCATGGTTTTGACTCTCATTTCCCAGCCCACAGGAAGACTTTAGCAACAAATCTGTGACCCGGAAAAGGGTCAGTTCTTATTTTTAGCCTGACGAAGAAAGAGGAGCAATGACTGGTCGATTTGTTAGGGCTGTTGCAGCCCTGGGCCAGCTCCTGCAAGGACTACCTCTCCGAGCGGGTGGCGGAGAGGCATCTTACACTGCCCCCGCCCCAGGAGGAAACCAGGCAGGAGGGGGCGTGGCATCCTCTGGGGTTTGGCAGAATCAAAGTGGCACCTCAGAGAGTAGAAGGGTCAGCAGTTCCTGGTCAGGGCAGATGTGACCAGCGTTGATGGACCTGGGGAATTTGCTTTCTGAAGCGCAGCGACGCTGCAGGCCAGCCTCTCCTCTCGATGCTGTGTAACTTTTGTCTGGTGCAGTGTTCATGCAGCTTAATTTTGGGCCCTTTGTAATTCTGGTTTCATACTTGTGTTCGGTGTATACTCACTGAATGGATTTGAAGATGGCAGGGACTGTTCAGTCATTCTTTATTCACTCATTCATTTAGTCATTGAACAGACCTATGCTGGGGCCTTCTGTGTGCCAGGACTGGGGTAGGCGCTGGATTCATATCCCCTGCGACCAAGACAGGACCTGCTCTCAAGTTGCTCACAGCTCAGTGGTTCACTGAAGTCTTTCGTACTTCCAGGAGAGGGGCAGAGGGTGTGTTAGGGGCACAGTCGCTTTGACAGCTTCTCTGCAGGCTCTCCTGTCTTCTGGGAGAGTCCCCAGGACAAAATGGAAATGAAGCTTGTTATTCTGTGGCCAAAATTAGCATCTCTCCAACTCTCCTTCCTCACTCCCCATTTATTATACAGAATAAGAAAGTTGCCTACCTGTGATGGTTAATTTTATTTGTAAACTTGACTGGGCCAAGGGGTGCCCAGATATTTGGTCAAACATCATTCTGAGTGTTGCTGTGAGGGTGTTTTTGGATGAGATAAACATTTAAATTGATTGACTGATTAAAGCAGATTGCCCTCCCTAAGGTGGGAGGACCTCTTCCAATCAGTTGAAGGCCTGTATAGAACAAAAGCTGAACCTCCCTAGAGTAAGAGGGAATTCCTCCTTCCTGCCTGCCTTCAGACTGGGACATTGGTTTTTTCTTGCGTTTGGACTTGAACTGAAACATCGCCTCTTCCTGGGTCTTGAGCCTGCCGGCAAGGGAACTAACCGTACCATCGGCTCTCCTGGTTCTCCAGCTTGCCGACCGCAGATCTTGGAACTTGTCAGTCTACATAATTGTGTGAGCCAACTCCTTATAATACATCTCTTTCTATATATACATACAGTCACGCGCCACATAACGATGCTTCAGTCAATGATGGGCTGCTATACGACGGTGGTTCCGTGAGATTAGTACCATCTAGTCCAGGTGTGTAGTAGGCTACACCATCTGGGTTTGTGTAAGTACACTCTATGATGTTTGCACAACAGTGAAATCACCTAACAATGCATTTCTCAGAACATATCCCCATTGTTAAGTGACGCATGACTGTACATCCTACTGGTTTTGTTTCTTTGGAGAACCGTTTTGTTTCTCTGGAGAACCCTGACTAATACAGAACCTGAACAAAAAACACAGTTCTTGGCCCAGCCAGCCTCTGAGGTCTAACAGTGCCCACCAACACTTCCACCCAAGGTGCCGCATCAGCCTGGCCTCGGGCGGAAGAGCTGGAAGGAGGAGGTGGAACAGCGCTTCGTCAGGGCAGCTAGGAAACTGGTCCTAGCCACGCTGGTTGCCTGTGGGAAATGGAGCCCCTCCTTCCAGGCCTATCAGAGGCCCCCTGAGCCCAAGTTCATGGCACAGTCACGTGGGGCCTGACCTTCATCCTTCCACCGGCCTGGTGGAGGAGGATGGGGCCTGGATGCAGTGTGGGAGATGGGGCAGCATCTCCCATGGGAGAGGCAGAATGTGGATGGAGTGGATGGTTCCGGGGCCTCTGCTCAGAGGTCTGTGAGTGAGGGCTGCAGAGCACTTTAGACAGATACAGTTTATCTGTGAAACTCCAAACTCTTGTGTCAAGTGCATATTGAAAAAGTGGGTTAAATCTCCATCTTTTATAATTCACAGCCTTGGGACATCTTTAGACTCTTGACGAGCATTCAGTGAAAAGATGGTAGCAGAAAGAACAGCTGAGCCCTCTTCTGACACCTTCAGAAAAGACCTAGAATGGGAGATAGTCCCCAGTCTTGAGAGCATCATGGATAGGAAACAGTCCAGTTTATTTCTAGAGGCATTTTGCCTAAAATGTGTAGCTCTGGTAGGTTCCAGAAACCTGTTACATAATGATGTTCCCCTACGTACAATGATCTCATCTAACACAGAGTTGCAGCTTGCCTTTGCCTCGCTTTCTGAACAAACTGCAGTGAAAAATAATCATATCAGGAGAAAAAAAACGGCCACCTCATGACAGTCAGAACTGGTGCAGCTGTAGCCCTTTGCAGCTTGACACCAGGCCAGCAGAACGCTCGGCCTCTCTGGCCATTTTTCTCAGCTGTGGACACAGTCCCTGGTGGGTCTCCCTAGCCAAGTGCAGGGCCGAGAAGCAGAGGTTGGTGTAAACACCCCCTTCTGACCCTGGGCTCCCTGGAGTGCGGTTTCCTCCCCCACCTGCTCCCTTGTGACCACGAGGCAGCCCTCTAAAAAACTACTACGATGGTGCTCCTGCTGTCCCAGATTCACGGAGGAGTCAAATGGGCTAGCGTCCTCTTGGTTTGGACACTTTCTGTTTGTGGAGTCCCCCGGTCACATCTGCGGAATGCTCTCGTTCGGTGTCACAGAGACGAGGGCCAGGAAATTGCAGAATAGAGGCTGGCTCTATTCAGCCAAGGATAAAGGATGGTCAATTCATCTGCTGCCCTCTGAGCACCAACTATGTGCTTCGGGCAAGAAGACCTGACTGCTGCCCTTAGGAAACGTACCATCTCACAGGAGAGGCCAGACATGTCAGCATCCATCTATAGTTGGAGACAGTGTGCTAAGTGCTCTGCTGGGCCGATGGAGGGAGAGCTCACATCCACCGGAACAGTAGCCAGGAGATACCAGCTCCAGAGGCCAAGTTAGCAAAAGCAGTGCTCTCCTGCTTTGGTTGACCGTGGCCTGATCCCAGGCCAATAGACCCCAGGTCTCCTGACAGCTGCCAGGCCAGAGGGCTTCTGCTGAGAAGACTAAGTGTTTATGCAGAAACAAAGCTTACACTTCCAGGCCCTGGATCCTTCTGCCCAGAGACAAAGACATCTGGGTTTTTGAGAGTGATGGATTCTTTCGCATTTCCTCCTTTTCTTGGAGTCCCCAAGCAGCTGGGACCCCTCCTGGGGAGATGTAATCTACACAGAGCCAGCTGCCTCCTCTTGCCTCTCCCCCTCAGCTCTCCACTGTGGCCTCCCTGCGAGTTTGCTGGTGGGGACATGGCCCCTCGTTCTCACTGGAGAGCGTGACAGGGGCTGGTTCAAGCAAAGGAGTGTGGGTACTTTGTCCTGGGCCTCCCAGACACTGCCGGACCCCTGCCCTCTGGTTTGGGGTGTTCTTCACCTCCGCTGTCTGTATCTTCCCCCGAGTACCATGGGGAACCCCCATGGAAATGGCTCAAAGCTTTTGCTGTGGATCTGAGGCCAGCCCAGCTGGGGAGGGACAGATGAGAGGCTTCACTTGAGGGGTGCAGCCACGCTCTTCAGGGCACTCGAGTCAGCCTGTGTGTCTTACGTCTTTGGGATGTGGGAGACCCAGCAGGGCATTGACTTGCTGGATCGTGTCAGTCACACCCCAGGCACATTTGGACACCCTCAAGTTGTATACTGTTACTCAAGGCTCTTCACTCCTCTGGACTTCTTGATTTGATTTTCTGCATAGATATTTCACATAAGTCAGAGTTCCTGCTCAGAATTTCAGGCAAGGTGTGGAGAGGAAAGAGGTTCCTGCTCCTCGCTCTCCCCTCCCGTCCCCCATTCCCAGGCTCAGGCCTGGCTGCTCCAGGACTGCCACGTGGGAGCCACCTGGCAGGTCGACCTCCCAGGGGAACATGATGATGTAATGTGCCTTTTTTTTTTTTGGTGAGGAAGATGAGCCCTGAGCTAACATCTGTTGCCAATCCTCCTCTTTTTGCTGAGGAAGATTCGCTCTGGGCTAACATCTGTGCCCATCTTCCTCTACTTTACTTTACATGTGGGATGCCTGCCACAGCGTGGCTTGATAAGCAGTGCATAGGTCCATGCCTGGGATCCGAACCTGCAAACCCTGGGCTGCTGAAGTGGAGCACATGAACTTAACCACTATGCCACCGGGCTGGCCCCAGTAATGTGCCTTTTGAGTGGGCAGAGCCTTGACCTTTCCTCCTTCACACTGAGTCCCTGGCGCCACTCTGGTGCTCTACTTGTCTGCCCCCGCCCAAATTTATTTTCCATTCTGAACTTTGGAAGAGTCTTATTCATCTAGGGCTGGCTCTTTATTTGTAGCTCGTCTTTCCTTTGTCCTCATCCCATGTTGTGGAAGCTGGGCCTGTTAGCTTCTATTCTAGGAGGTCCTTGACTTAACAAACCCAAGATGGAAAAATCAGTTTGCGAGAGCTGTTCTGTAGAGGGCGCTCCTCTTGGTTTTATTTTGGATTTCTTCTGAGATCCTGGGGATTAAGGTTCAGAGGTTTTGCCATTCGTGATGGCACTTCTCCTGTGTAACCCATGTCCTCTTTCACTGGGCACTGTGACCTTCAGCTATCTTTGTGCTAAGGATGTCTGACGTGATCCTCTGAGAACGTGAGGCTGGGGGCGGGGGGCTTTTAATCTCTTGAATAGGGAGTAGGGGGACATCTTGTCATACATCTGTGTCAGTGGCCTGTTGACCCATGTTAGCTAAGGGCAGAGCTGGCCTCTCTGACCCGGGGACCGAGGTGATGGGCATAGATGCTGCCTCTGTGGTTGGCGGCAGCCAAGGGTACCAGGCTGTAAGGAGGCAGGTTCCCTGTGGATGGAGTGGGACGTGTGCACAGTTCCAGTCCGGTTTTCTAAAGGTCAGTCATCCAGAAGGGGTTCTACCACTTGTCGTGAGGCATTCAGTATTGGCAAAGTGGAGACTTTCAGTCACCTGCCTGCTGATGGTATCTCGTTAAGATGTAATTAATTGGTTCATTTTGGGTATAGTAATCACAGAGAATTAATGACTGCAAGTATAGGCAGTGCTGATCCAGAGTAAATGAGTAAAAGGATTGCACCTTTAAACCAGTTGAGGAGGGAGTGCTGGAGTATTAGAGGCCCCCGGGGAGTTTTGTCCGAGTACAGAGGCCTGGGCGCCACCCCAGGAACTGGAGTTCCTGAGAGCAGGAGAGCTCAGAAGCCATTAAAGAGCTGGTCTGCACGCTCGAGACCTGGGCCTGGGCTTGCTCTGCCACTTACGGTGGGATAACTGTCCTGGTTTTAGCACTGAAAGTCCCCTGTCCCAGGAAACCCGGGACAGTGGGTCACCCTACCTCTCTGGGCCTTGGCTTCCTTCTGCATACGGTGATGGAGTTGGACAAAAGGCATTTCTGATATTCTAACCTGAACCCCCCTCCCCTCCTTGTCCAATAATTGACCCTCCTAAGCCCCTTCAGCCTGTGACCCTAGGCGGCTTCTCCTGGTGAGAGGTCATTGTACATGTGTGACATTAGGCAACCTTCTGTCCCTGGTCTACAGGATGAGTCCACTAACCTCACGGGCCTGGCGTAGAACTGGGGGTCTTCTCCCAAGTGAGTGCGGCACGAGGGCGGCATCCAGGGTTCCCTAGGAAACAACGACAAAGACAAACACAGCAGTGATGGAGACGGAACGTGCTTCTGTTCTCCATCGTGCTGGCAACCAAGGAAACCCCGTGGGCTTGAAAAGCTTCAGCGAGGAGGCGAGACCTCCTGCTCTAGTTGAAGGCCGCGAGAGGTGGCAGGGACCTTCTAGAGGCCAAGCCAGGCTCGTTTCTCTGAGCACCCTTGGGAAGGTGGTTCTGGAGCCTCCTAGGCTGGCCCTTCTTATGGTCTGGAGGCACTGTGACTGGCACAAGCCAGATGTCACAGAGCAGAAGCATTTCTGCTGTTAAAGGGATACAGGCTTTGAATAGGATACTGCCAGCTGCCTCTCGACCCACACCCTAGAAAGTGAGGGGGTCTGTGGGGTTCTGGGAGGGGCTTTCTCCTGGGGCCCTCCTGGTGCTCTGGAGATAACAGGTCAGGTTCCCAAACAGCAAAATCAGATGCTTGCCTAGCTGAGGTCCAGCAATGGCCCGTTTGTTTCGTAGGCCACCAAAGATTGGGGTTTGCTCCGACTCGGTCAGGCCATGTGGCCGGTTGTAACCGGAAACAGACCATCTGCCTTCCCTCCTGTAATGGTTTTCAAAGTTTTAGGGCCTTTCCTCCTCCATGATTCTCAGTCCTGGGCCAAGCAAGCCCCAAATGCAAGAGGCCCTGTGGCCCAGAGAGCCTTGCGTTTCTCAGGGGTGCTTGTATGTTTCCTTTGGCCACTCCGTGGTGTTTGGGTATCTGGCTTGGGGCCCAGCACCCGATCACCCCCAATTTTAAGCCCTGCAGAGGCCTGTGAATTGGGAGTGAATTTCCCAAACAAGCAGAGCGTAAGTGTCCCTTCCTTGGGCATACCAGCCCAAGGCATGGGTGTCCTCGGAGCTGTCCCGTCCAGGGACCTGAGTCCCAGCCTCTGCTTCTGTCTTCCAGGCAGGCCTGGCCTCCCCCGAGAACTCGGAGCAGCTCATCATAGCCCTGGAGCCCGAGGCGGCCTCCATCTACTGCCGGAAGCTGCGACTGCACCAGATGATCGAGCTGAGCAGCAAGGCGGTGGTCAATGGGTACAGCTCCAGTGATACAGTAGGAGCTGGGTTTGCACAGGGTACCTCCTGCTCTCTCTCTCCCCCTCCCTGCGCTCTCCCCTCCCGCCCCCTGCATGTTTCTCTGCCTCTGATTATTTAAAGACACCTAGCGCTGTAAAGAATCAAGATGCTCTTGGAGGAGGTTTGCTTTAAGCACCTCTGTGTTCAGCCCCACTACCTGGCCCCACCAAGGACCCCCCTAAACTCAGCCATCGTTACCTTGGTTCATCACCCACCCACGTGCCTTAGGAGGGGGAGTGCGCGTCTCTCCAAGAACCTGAAGGTGGCCTGAAAGCAGTCCTTGGCTTTGCATTTTACTAGGCTCCTAATCTTTCCTGTGTATTAACTGATTCTTGATCTAATCCCCTTGCCTGTTATTAATTGCTCCATCAAGACTGTTGACTTATTGCTGACTCACTCATTGGGCTGCTTCTGTGTGATGAGCTCATTATGTGTCTTAGCCATAAACCCGGGAGAGTTTAAACCACAGATGAAAAAGGCTGACTTGTCCTTGACCTGTTGGTGCTCATTTAGCTGTGGGAAGGAGCACCGCCTAGGGAGACCCAGGATGGAGCTTTTCCCCCTTAATATTTACCAGTATGCAAGTTGGTCACAATCTTGGTCCCCAGAACTACTTTCCCTGGTATCCAGGGCTCTGTGGGTCTGTCCAGGGTCATGGGGTTTGCAGATACCCTGGGTCAGGGTCAAAGCCACCAATGTGAATGGGTGTGGGTGCTAATCGGGAGCAGGGTAGGGGTGGCACTGTGCACACAGCTCTGAGCCCCGTTCCCAGATGAGGGCCTCGGGGGCAGACACCCACCCACCCCCCATGCCCACCCCATCCTGCCCTGGAAGGCGTGGGAGGAGGAGAGGGTGATGTTAGTGAGGACTGTCTCCGCTGTTACCCCACGGCCTTGTCTCCACATTGTCCTTGGTCCCCACACCGGAGCCTGTCTCTGCACACCCCGAGGCGCTGGGGCCAGGCTCACCCTTAGCAGGCGCACATTCCTGCCTAGACGGTGCTGAGCCGTTTCCTCCAGGCCTCTTCACAGGGTGACTGTCCCAGAGGCCACTGCTCTGCATTTTCAACCTGAGATTGAGGAATCTGTGAACCTCAGCCACAGGACAGTGGCAAAACATTCGCTTGTCAGCAGCCTGCCCGTGGCTGTGTGTCAGCACCTCAGATCTGATTCATCCAGAATGAATGGAAACAGGCTTCCCTTTAAATCTGAGGGCTTTTTTCTAAAATGCTTGGCCTCTCCCAAGCATGCCGAGGCTAGCCTTACTGCTAGCTAAATCAAGTGCTTTAATGTCCTAAACACTCAGGACAGTATATTTATTTAAATTTCCTTCCCCATTGTTTTAATTGGAAAAAAGAGGACTGACTGACTGGGCTTTATACTTACATGCTGATTCTTGCTCAGCTTGTTCATAAACAGAAATTCCCGTCAGAATTGGCTAAGTCTAGACAGCCCTTCTTAATACTCCTTCCGGATAACACTCATATCTGAGGGGGATGCCTGGTTTTGAATGCTTGCTCAGTTTTGGGGTTTCTTTCCTTTAAAATATCCTGTCTACCCCACACTGCTCTGTGACTGTGCCCCGTGTCTTGTAGAATTTGCTGTTGTCTCATGTGCTCAGAGGGTGTTTGGTTTTTGAAATCCTCAAACTGTTGGCCACCAGCCTTCAGAAGGGCAGTGAGGCAGAGGTTCTGTCTTGGCCTTGCTGTGCAGTTAGAACCTCTCTCCCAGGAGGAGGGGGTGCTGTCTGGGAGGCCTGGCAGAGCACTTCCTCAGGAGCACCCAGGATGGCGTGAGTGCCCTGAGACCCCCGGGCCATTCTGCGCCTCCTGATGTTCCCTCATGATGGTGCCCGGTGGACACCTCTGAGGAGAATGGAGCCCGTACTCTGCCCCCAGCACCGCAGGGTTTGCTGTCGGTATTATTTTACTCCAAGAAGATTTAATGAGATTAGTAAAGGATACATTTTTCACAATCTTAGGCTTAATTTGCCTAAAAAGTGGGATAATTTTTTGAGAGCTCAGAAAAGGTTTTATTAACCCCGCTTGGCCGTTCTTTATGAACGCCATTTTGTTAGCCATCTAGATTGTTTTAGAAAACCAAGTGTGCACCACAGAGTCTGTAGTATAAATGTAGTGCTGGCCGAGGAGAGAAGCCCCGAGTTTGGGGACCCCTCCCAGGCCTGCAGAAACTCTTTACTTGGGGTCGGACGGCCTCTCCACTACAGACCAGGGCCCAGGGAACTTAGAGCTGGCGGGGGTTTGCCATGCTAATCCCCAGAGAAGACGCTGTTTTGCAAACACTGTGCTCCTTGCTGAAAGAGGCTAGAGGGTCAAGGGTCCTTTATTGGATAACCGGCAACAGAAGGATTTGTAGGGCAATTCAAAGTCAGCAGCACTTGCTTAGGGACTAAAAAAATTGGTGGGGCAAGACGGGGGGGAGCCGCAGAGCAGTGGACTGCGCCTGCACCTGTAAAATCGAGTTGCTCTAAATCATTCATGGCCATTTGTTGGGTACCGGGCTCATCCTCAGTGCTCTCCCTTGATCACCTACTGTGTGCTAGTGTCACACTGGGTGCTGAGGAGAAATCAGAGAACTGGTCCCTGCTCTGCCTGTGAGGAGCTTAGCCCAAGTATTATCATCCCCGTGTTATGGATGAGGAAACTGAGGCCCAGAGCGGTTAATGATTTGTCCAGATTCCCACGCCGGCTGTGCCCTGCTGCTTCCCAGGTACCTCTCAGCACCTTTCCCATCTCTTACCATTGTAGTCTGCTTTTTCAGACTTCACTGTAGATTGTTGAACCTCAAAGCAGGCATGAGGGCCTGTGGTCCGAGGGTTAATTTTGGGCTGCCAGACAGAGTCGTGGGAACTGCAAGTCCCTTAACCTCCCTGACCTGGTGTCCTCATCTGGACATAGGACGATGGTTTGTGCCCTGTCTGCCCCACGGGGTTATCAGGGAGGCCTCCAGGAGATGAAATACCCCACGCGAGGCGTCACAGCTGCTAAGCACCTGGAGCCACAGCCAGGTTGTCCTGCAGTGTTCAGGAAAAAGGCAGCACTGGGCTTTTGCTGGGTTCAGACGCGCCACCTTGTGGCTGAAGAGCATATTGGCTTCAACAGGGTCAGGAAATCGCTTTGGACCTGTGTTTATCCAGGATCCACTTAGGAAAACACCCCATATTCCTTGTATCAGGCAAAGTTCCTGGATGTGAAATTGTTTAATCACGTGTACTGCAGGCTGCTTGGCAGAGGCTTCCCCTGGGGCAGCAAAGCCAGGAAACTGACCGATGTTATTAACCCGTTCCACAAAAAATGTCATTGGAGAAAGATCTCATCAGGGAGAGCTTTTCAGCAGGGCACAGGCCAACACTGCCATGCAGATGATGGCTGGTGGAAATAGCTACTGCTCTGGAAGGGCTGGCTTTGTGATTCCCGATGCATTTATGTAATCATTTTGGTTGAGTATCACTGAATGTTCCATCCCGAAACCTCCTGCTGTTGCCTCCACTGATTGCAGATGACTGCTTGCTTTTTCATGCTTTTTTACCCGTCGTCACTTTCTTTCCGTTGGCCCCTAGCTAAGGAACACGTACGGCGTAATCGGCAGAGTCGGACCTTTTTGGTGGAGAACGTCATAGGAGAAATCTGGTCCGAGCTGGAGGAAGGTAGTGTCCTTGAGTGTCTTTTGCCCTTGCTGGATCTTTTTTTGTGCTGCTGGCAAAAATGCATTCCTATTTGTTCCTTTTGCACTTTTGGAAAATGTTCAAAATCAGTTAGTTTTAAAGACCACTCACCCAAGGAGAGCTCTTTTGTAGCTATAATTTTGCATGTTGTAAAGCCATATAGACTCTTCAGAAGAGAGGTAGGAAATGGAACTCACTGGTTCCAGAGTAAGTCTTCTGTTAAACAGCAGTCTGTTTTATGGTGCCATTAACTTGGCAGCAAGTTGTCCACTTGTACATGCCAGGTATGCAGCAGGGTGTGACATGAATGCTTTAGTCTTAAAGATGCCCTCACTTGGGTTCTTTATCATCCATGCTAACCATCACTCCTGGGAAGACATTATTGCATTCTCTTTAGTCATGGATAACTCGCTGTGCAGCTAATTAACAAAACCATTGTACTAATGAGAAGTGTTGACGGCACTTAGGTGGGTACACCGAGTCGTCACCCGCCAGCTTGTTTCAGGATGGGGTTGACAAGCGGCCCATGTAAAGGATGGTTGTTTTTGTACCAGGTGACAAGTATGTGGTTGTGGACAGTGGCGGTGGCACAGTAGACTTGACAGTCCATCAGATACGGTTACCAGAGGGACACCTTAAAGAACTGTATAAAGCAACAGGTGAGCCCCTGCATGGCTGATTTTCTCACACCTGAGCCATTTCACCCGTATCAGATTTCCCTCGGCATTTCCTTCTCTCAATGTGGGATTGAGACAGGAGAGGATACCGAAGCTTCTGTGACACTGGAGAGCCAAAGGCAGTTAAATGTTCTTAAAACACAAACCACTGTACCTTTAGTGTAAAGTGAGCCTGTTTCAGATCCTGGCCAAGGGAGTTTGTTTCTGAAAGTTCTGGAAGGATGTGTTGTAACCTGATGTCACCTATGATTGAGTGCTATGATTAAGCCTTCTAGGGAGGTCCCAGGACACCAGGTCTTGGATCAAGATTGCCAAAGCAGACAACAGGCTCCTTCCCTTGGTGGGGGTGGGGATGATGAGTAATTAGTAGGTCGCAGGGACGAGGCGAGGCCTGCTGGTTATCCAGAGCCTGTCCTTGGATTTCTTGGGTGGGAATACCATGATGCTCCTAGTTAGGTAAATGTCTTGATTTTATTTAAAGTGTAATTGATTTTAAACAGATTGTTGACGAGTGATTTCTATAAGAAAAGGTTTCTCCACATGGAATGAGAAGAACCTAAGAGTTTTAAGGTGTAAGTGAAAACACATAGCTGCTGTCTGCTTGCTGAGCGGGTCCAAGTTAGTGCTACTTTGTGTTTGAGAGAAGAACACAGGATACGCTGTCTCTCAGACCTTGGATGCAGTTTCTGAGTGTTTTTAACATGGTGGGCTCCCATTCTGTTCTCGACTCAGGTGGACCCTATGGCTCCTTAGGAGTAGATTATGAATTTGAGAAGCTTCTGTGTAAAATATTTGGAGAGGATTTTATCGAACAATTCAAAATCAAGCGACCTGCAGCCTGGGTTGACTTAATGATCGCGTTTGAGTCTCGCAAAAGGGCGGCTGCCCCGGACCGAACGAACCCGCTGAACATCACCCTGCCCTTCTCCTTCATCGACTACTACAAGAAGTTCCGTGGGCACAGTGTGGAGCACGCCTTGAGGAAGAGCAAGTGAGTTGGGCTCACATTTGGCTCAGGACGTTCCAGGGGGTGGGTCATGTTGATGAGAGGGAGGAAGGGGGGTGTGGACTCTGGGTTCCAATCCTACATACTCACTGTTTGACCTTGGGCAAGTGATTCGACTTCTCTGTTCCTCAGTTTTTTCATCTGGAAAATGGGGATGTTCATTCCACTTACTTCAAAGGGTTGTTGTGAGGAGGAAATGAATTCATATATGTTAGGTGCTTAGCATAATCCCTAGAATCTGGAAAGCAGTATTTATGTGTTAGCTGTTATTATGTACTAAAAAATACAAGCTTTATGAAAGCAGGGAATTTTGTCTGTTTTGGCCTCTGCCGTATCCCCAGCATCTACAGCAGAACCTGGTACGTACCTAGCAGGTGCTCAGTCAATAGTTGTTGAATGAATCCCATGGGAGTCTGAGTTCCCTGCTTCTCTGCATTTCTTGGCTGCAGGCAAGTGTTTGTAGCTCAGCTTGTTGCAAAATGAACATATTTCGAAGATGTTTTAAAGCTGAATTAAAAAAAATAATAGATGAAAATCATAGATTACTAAAAATCTTTTTATAGTGGGAAAATTTCAAACATTTACTGTGTAAAATGAACCTCATTATCCAGCCTCAACAGGTGTCAGTTCCTGGCCAGTCTAAATCCTCATCCACCCTCCCCCAATTATTTTAAAGCAAATCTCAGATTATTGTCTAATCCATAAACATGTCAGTATATATCTCTAAAGGAGATAAATTTAAAATCATAGCCACAATACGAGTATCACACTTAAAATTAGTAATTTTTCAATATCATCAAATACCCAGTTAACATTAAAATTTTTCTGATTGTCTCATAATTTTTTTTCAGATTGCATTAGCGTTTAACTGATGGCTATACATAGCAATGATCTGATATGCCTCTTAAGGCCCATTTAATATATAGGTTCCCTCTCCTGTTTTTTTCTTGCAATTTATTAGATGACAAAGCTGACTGTTTGTCCTGTAGTTTCCTACAGTCTGGGTTTTGTTCAGTGCATGCCTACATCATGTGTCCTTCTGTCCCCTGCTATTTTTCTTACAAATTGACAGATTGAGCTAGAGGTTTGATTCAAGTCTGAGTTTTGGGCATGTCTACTTCCTGGGTGGTAGTATTTCCAACTGCATCACATCAGGGGACACATCGTGTTTGCTTGTGATGTTAGCAGTCACGGATGATCATTGCTTAGGCCTTAATTTAAGGGGTGGCCCTGTAGTTATCTCCCTTAGTCTGTCACTTCTTCTGCATTTATTCACCAGAATACTTCTGTAGAGAGAAACTTTTCTCCTCAACGGTTTGGTTGCCCTGAAGTACAGTTCATATAGGAAAAACAGGACAACTCTTGGTTCTTTCCTTCCATGTATAAGTTTTTGGTTAAGAAAAAAATTGTTGACTTCCTAGCATCCTCCAAAGTGAAAAATGAATTTTTTTCTTTTGCGGGGGCACAAGGCAGGGAGTATCGTTAAGAATTCAGGCGTTTAAGCATATATGATGTATTTAAGCCATGGCAGTTATATCCTTATTGATGCTCAAATTGTCCCATCCTGACCAGTAGGAGCCTCTTGAGGTTGGCTCCTGAGTCCGTTGATGTGACATCTGTGGTCTTTGACAGTCTTGACCTTCTGGTGTGTGGAGATGCTCCTGGCTCATCTTGTATGTTCTCTACCCCAGACGTGCAGTGGGCTATTTCTCTAAGAAGCCCTGATTCCTTTTAGTGGGAAACAAATTCTAGTTGATTCCAGGTCATCTTGCCCTTGGAGCAGGGTCCTAGCTGCTAGGCCGATGTTCTCTCTGTCCCCAGAGAGAACCTGCTCCCTTGGTCCCCCGAGAGGCACCTGTTCCGAGTTGAATCCCAAGTCCTGCCTGCACAGTTCTGGGGCCTGCCAGCTCTCCTCCTGGGGAGACTGGCCGCGGCCAGCCATGGGGTCATCCGCAACGCACCACACTGTCCTCTGGCCTAGACCATGGAAAGAATTCCTGGACTGGGAGGCCTGGCAGAATCTAGAATGCGATGCTGGTAAGCAGCTGGTGTGTGTTTCGCTTCAGGGATGGAGACACTTTGCTCAGCCCCTTTGAACTTGAGAACGGGCCGGGCACACACTGCAATAAACAGTCCCCGGTGTTCCCTTAGTGCCAGGAAGTTTCCAAAGTGTTTCCACAGACATGGTATTTAACTTTGTCTTCACAACAACCTCTGCGAGGGAGGCAAGGCAAGTGGTATTAGCCTTGATTTTCAGACAAGAAGACTGGGCCTCATAGAAAATGTAGGTCAACTTGCCCAAAGTCCTGTAGCTACTAAGTGGTGGAGGCCAGGCTGGAGCCCAGCCATCCAGACTCCCTGTGCAGTGCTCTTTCTGTTCTGTTCCACGCCGCTGCTTTGGACATGCTGCACCCTTGATAGAGCCGCTGCTTTGGACATGCTGCAGCTTTGATAGAGACAGTGAGGGGCATCTGGTCACATCAGGCTTATCACCATCATGGGACACGTGCCTGCAGGGCAGAGGGAAATGTACCTGAGCACACGGGTTTGTAGCCTTATGTAGCAAGCAGTACAGTGGACACATCCTATGAGCCTTTAACAGACATCCAAGAGAGAGAGTGATCCCTTGATTTATCTCCTTGTCTTCTGTACTAGACTTTGGCTTCCACTGCCCCAGGGCAAGGTTGGCCACAGCGAAAAGCAAAGAGAAACAGAGAGGCTATGTCTTAGCTTTTGGGCTTCTAAGGGTCCAGGTCTTGGCAGTTTACATATTTCCAAGGACTTTCAAACCCCTTTCTGCCCTTTTTAGATGTGACAGCTATTCTGCCAGGGCCCATGTCTGTGCAGATTAGTTGGGGTATCCTTTATACACTCACTGCCCGTTTCGCAACCCCCACAGTGTGGATTTTGTGAAGTGGTCCTCGCAGGGGATGCTGAGGATGAGTCCAGATGCCATGAATGCCCTTTTTAAGCCAACCATCGACAGCATCATTGAGCATCTCCGTAAGTATCAGCCAGAGCTCGGCCACTCAGTGTGGCGGAGCCAAGAACAGGGACTGACTTTTCCAGCATCACCAACCAGTGCATGCGAAGCCAGGGCGGCACAGGGCCCGGAGCCGGGCAGCATAGGCCAGACCCAGCACGATGGACAGGGCCTGGGCACGTATGAGGGAGGTTGCTGGGCACAGGCTCTGGATCCCTCCCCTCAGGTACTGAAAGCAGCCGAGAGCCTGTTCTCACCTGGGCTTTCAGTTTGGCTTCAAAAGTCAGAGAGCTGGGAGCTCTGCAGCAATATTATCCTCGAGCCCCAGGCCCTAGGGAATGTGTGGTCTTTGCTTTATCAGGAAAAATTAGGAACCATAACCCTTGCCGGGGAGGAGGAACTGTTGTGTGAACCAAAGAAAGATCTCCCACCAGGAGAATCAGAACAAACAGCACTGGCCACGCCATTATCCTGCCACGTGGCCCTCACCCAGGGACACAGAGTAGACACACCGGGGACCATTTTCAGTATCCAGGCCTCCCATCCACTTCCTACCACTCCCCTACCAAACCAGAACCCCTGGGGTGGGATGGGATTTCTATGAAAACCAAAGAATATTATTTATAATAGCCTGCCTTGACTTACCTAACAGAACCACAGGTTGGGAGAGTGTGAGGAGTATTCATTTACGTATAACAAATCACTACTTAAAATGATCACCAGCTAGCTATTAAAATGGGTTTCTACTTAGCGCTAGCTTTGGTTTTTATTCCTGAGCATATTGGTGTGCAAACCCCTTTCTTTAAAAGACGAGCTCTACACAGTTCTGTCCAACGAGCTCAGACTAGGCTTGTCCTCCAGTTGGGCAAGTGTTTTTGTCCATTCCCCACATTCTCAGGCCACCCGGTCCCCCTTGCCTGCTGGCTTTTGGTGACAGGATGTTGTCCCTCCTCTTCCCTTTCAGGGGACCTGTTTCAGAAGCCCGAGGTGTCCACTGTGAAGTTCCTCTTCCTGGTGGGCGGCTTTGCCGAGGCGCCGCTCCTGCAGCAGGCCGTGCAGGCTGCCTTTGGCGACAAGTGCCGCATCATCGTCCCCCAGGACGTGGGCCTCACCATCCTCAAGGGCGCCGTCCTCTTCGGCCTGGACCCTGCCGTCATCAAGGTGCGCCGGTCTCCGCTCACCTACGGGGTGGGCGTGCTGAACCGCTACGTGGAGGGCAAGCACCCGCCCGAGAAGCTGCTGGTGAAGGATGGCACTCGCTGGTGCACCGACGTTTTCGACAAGTTCATCTCTGCCGACCAGTCCGTGGCCCTGGGGGAGCTGGTCAAGCGTAGCTACACGCCGGCCAAGCCCTCCCAGCTGGTCATCATCATCAACATCTACAGCTCTGAGCACGACGACGTGAGCTTCATCACCGACCCTGGGGTGAAGAAGTGCGGCACGCTCCGCCTGGATCTCACGGGGACCAGCGGCACGGCTGTGCCCCCTCGGAGGGAGATTCAGACCCTCATGCAGTTTGGGGACACCGAGATCAAGGCCACGGCCATCGATATAGCCACCTCCAAGAGTGTCAAGGTTGGGATTGACTTCTTAAATTACTAACCGGCCTCCCTGCCGCCTGCCCCCGTGGACGCACTCACCTGCATCTGCTGACCTCAGCCCTGACTGCTGGCCCCGCCCTGCCCCTCACCATTGCCCACCTGAATTTCAGCAGCGAAGATGAGAACAACCAGGGCTGGAATAATTAGGGATTTTTGAGGGCACACTGGAGTCAGAAAAACTCTTGGAAATTAAGATCGAGGTTTAGGAATAAGCAATTCAAAGATCCTAAGAGCAGCTGGTTTTCACAGGTACAAAGTGGTGAGACACCCACCCAACAAGGGAATCAGTATGTTTCTGCAGCAGTGACTGAGTTTGCTTTGAACAGATCTCCATTAAGTAGAACTTAGGATGCCCTATTGCTGTCTTTCCAGATTTGAAATGAGATCTTTGAGCCAGGGGAAGATTCTTCATCTCTGAGACTTTCCTTTTTACCATTTTTGGACGGCAGTCAATATAAAATGCCATCCATCTGCAGTTCATTTCTTTTCTTCATCATGTGATTCAAAGTGGTGATTCAGTGGGAACTTGGAGCATTTTTAGCTGGTGGGAGAGGACTGCCTACACTGGGCACTATTTTAGGTTCTCATAATTTAAATTCCAAATAGGTTCCATGAAGAATAACTGTAGCTTTGGCTAATCCACTAGGATTTGTGTGAGTGGGAGGGCTGATACCTCAACTTTTCTGTAGGTAAAAACTTCTTTGAGGGAAATGGATATTAAAGAGCTCCTGACCTATCCCACATTATATGCTGTGATATAATTCCCAGAATGCCAAATCCTGATTTCTGAATTCCTAAGTAATTCTAATTAACCTTCATAGGATCCTGTGTGAGAAAGTGAGGCTGCAATTTGCCTCGTCCACATCACTGAGCCCAGGAGTCTGGAACAGCCCCTCACCTTGACAGGCCTACATATTTTATTTTATTTTTATGTTTTATTTTTTGCAGGGAAGGACTCGCCTTGAGCTAACATCTGTTGCCAATCTTCCTTTTTTTTTTCTTTTTTATTCTCCCCAAAGCTCCAGTACATGGTTGTATATCCTAGTTGTAAGTCCTTCTGTGTGAGCTGCCACCACAGTATGACAACTGACAGATGGGTGGTGTGGTTCCGCCACTGGGAAACGAACCCAGGCCACTGAGGTGGACAGCACGGAACTTTAACCACTAGACCATCAGGGCTGGCCCCAAGCATACATATTTTAAATTAACTCCCTCCTCCCTGCTCACTCTCATCCCCCTAAGAGTTCTGGCCGTGTATTCCCACATTTTGAAAAGAATACATTGGTGAGACATGGGCAGAGAATCTGTTCTATGAAATGCTTCATTAAAATCTTCAGTTTTTGAAGTCCGTCCAAAAGGAATTTGTAGATCTATACTCCAGGAATTAAGCCAGGTTTTTTCAAAGCAGATCTGTGGATCACTGGCATGAGAACTGCCTGGGTGCTTGTTAAAAACAGGTTCCTGGATCCTGTCTCTTTTAGAACTGAAGTTGAGTCTTGGAGAGGAGGACCAGAATCTGCCACTTTTAGTAAACACCACAGGAGACTGTTTCAACTGCAATTTGAGAACTCCTAACTTAGGTTTTGTCGGAAGCTGAAGCGTAGATTGCAGCCTGCAGCCTGCAGCCTTCAGCCTTCCCATTGTGACCCCCTCAGGACAGAGGGTTTACACGTGAAGAGCGATGATCCCACGCCTCGCCCTCTTGTGCGTGGGGCTGGGGCTCCATCTGGCTTAGGGATGATGCTTTTAATCCTCACAGGAAAAGCCCGGGGAGGAAAAAGATTGCAAGAAAGCCACCCTAAGGACGGGGCTGACCCAGGAACCAACTGGTGGGGCTGGGTTCTCTCCTTCCTTCCCCACTTGCAAAGCCAGTCTTCTCCAACATTCAGGAACGAACTGAGGAAGAAGAATCAAGAATCTGACTCACAGCCTGTCTGATCTGTTCAAAGCTATCTTTTCCACCTGCTGGAATTCATTCCGATTTTAAATCACTGGAGGCATGCATAATGAATGAAGGGAAGATGAGGGAACTAACTTCGAACGCAAGTTGGATTCACAAACCCATTATCATACCCGATACGCAGATTTTAAATAGCATTTCCAATTTCATTTTAACATGTCTTCTTTTTCACATCGCCTGCTGCAGAATTCCCTACTGGGATGTGAAACACGAACAAACCACAGAACTAGAGAAGGCTAGTCACATAACTCAGTGGCGGGATTTCATATCCAGGCACAAAGGTGTGTTTGCTAGGGTTCTCTTCTGCCTGCTCTGCTTCAAAAGCTAAATGTTATGGGTCTTTCTTTGCTGTTGCCAGCCATACTCTACAAATAAGACTTTTCAATTTAGTTATAAGTAATATAATTTTATGTACATACAATATTAGAATATTGTACAGAATCTTTATTTCTGCAATGTGCTTTTCTTGTTAAAAAAATGAAAATGCTCTTTGAATTCTGTTGATGACATTGCTGCCTTTAATTTTCCATGGTTTCATTTCTTAATTGTGCATACTAATCATCAGTTTGTACCGATACTAAGCTATGGACTATTTATGCAAGACTGAGCAATAGACAGAGGTGCCCAGGGTCAGAATACTCTGAACAAATGAACCACCTGGATCCACTTCATCAGAGCTTTCTATACACACATCCTTCCCAAAGGTTCACAGGTTATATTTAAAGGAGCATAATAATATTATCGATTCTCCTGTCCAGTCCTTGAGAGCTGAACATTCTGGTTCTGTAAGTAATGTGACTGTGCAGAAAAACCTATGAAAATTCTTTGTATCCCTGCAGGGTCGTCAACCTTTCCTTGTGGGACAAAGCAGTCACTGAGGGCAAAGGGTGGTCCACCGTGTGTGATGTTTTCAGAACGCCAGGGTCAAAGAAAGGAATCTAGTGGTGCACAAATCCAGCTTATCTACTGGATTAAGTGTAAGTGTGAGTAATATAGTCAAGTCCCTCTTTTTGGGGTAATGTAAGGTCTTTCCCACCTTGCATTAAGGATGTCTCCTTGTCTACTATTTCTCTTAGACGAGCTGGTTGAAATCTGCACTGTTGGCAAACAGATGATGGAGAGGGGGTGATAATTTTATTGGACTTTCTTCTGGCCCCAGAGATGCAGCCCCATTAGTCAAACTCCTTAAAGGGAATCCCCAAATCCATCCCTCCTCCCCCTCCACCCTCTCAGAAATATTCTAGAATAAGAGCACTGGATAAATACACTTGAACACATTTTCTAATCTTAGAAAGTTTCTAAAAGGCCTGTTGTCTTGACCCATTACTCAACTGTCCCTGGCATATTATCTGATGGTCATGTTTCTTGGAAGCAGAATTGTCAAAAGATTTTCTTTGTAACTGCCCTTTCTGTACACAGCAGGCATTAATAAATGCTGAATGACAGACAAGTTACAGACAAAAGAGTAAAGAGGAGGAGACTATATAAGCGTTTTTGCAGAGTGATGGCTAAGATGAGTCCAGTTTACAGAGCCTGCCCTACCCTTAGAATGTTATTTAGATCAAGTTTAGCTTTTAGAGTCCAGGTCTGGTGAATTGCCAGGGTGGCAAAGAATCGCATGCGCCAATAAACAGGAGTCAATATGCATTATTAGTCGAAGATCGAATTTCACATTGTAGAGATGAAATAGCTGTGATTAAGCTGCATATTTATGCTGGAAAGTGGCTTAAGTGGTTGACTAGTATAAAAGTTGTTGGCCGTAACATCACACCTCTCATCTGCTTGGAATATGGACCAGTATTCTAAAATATCAGTCATTGGGGTCTTGTTCACTACAAGATAAATTCAAACTTCACAGAACTTTGCAGCAGTTCACAACTTGACAGATTGTATCTGCAAACTTTCTGTCTTCACAGATGTCTAATAAAGCAAAACTCTGGATCTCATGTGGCCCAGACTTTTTTTTTTGCACTCTGAGTTTGCAAATGGAATTCTAGACAGATTATTACTGACCTCCCCCTCCACCCCATCTCAGGTGGAGATTGCTTTATTAATTTTCATTCCAACAGGACTGGCCCCTTTGTTTGCTGGAAACCAAGGCTCCATTGATGTCCATGACCTCCTTTTCCCTCCAAGGTGGAAGCAAGTGGTCTAGCCGGAGAGAAGGCAGATAAGCCAGGGTGCCCACCAACAGCTCCACTGCACCCAAATGAAGGTCGTTAAAAAAAGCAGAAGGCTTAGGAGGGGAGCTTTGTCCTCTGGTACCCTAGCAGGCATGCCAAGCTGGCAGATGCATCTAGACCCTGGGGTTTATTCCAGGCTCTGTGTCTGGGGCACCCTCCAAAGTTTGCTCTAGAAGTTTCTGGATAGTCTGAGCTGGGATCCCAGGACCCAGAGAGGGTATAAACGAGTCCTTCCTAAGTGGGTAGCTCCATCAGCCTTCATCTGAAGTTCAATCCCCAGGAGGGTAGAGGTAGGGAAGGCTGCCAGGTGCAGACAGTCAGACAAAGGAACAAGTGTGTACGGAAAAGCGGTGCCACCAGGCAGTCAGCCTCCGTTTCCTTCTCTGTACAGGAGAGGCTGGGACTAGCAGTCTGTCCACTTAGTCTCTCTGTCTGGATCGCACAGTGGGCATCCTGGTTTCAATCCAATGAGATGAAGGCTCAGGCCCCTGAGCTCCCATAAAATGAGGATGGTGCGTTGCCCATCGCACCCCTTCCTTCATTTTGGTGCGTTGCCCCCTTCTGCCCTGTTCTGTCATCTGGAAATCCCATCTTTCCTGATAAGAGAAGACTAGGGGGGACGGGGGTGTCAGAAGCCCAGGGGAAGCCGCCACGGACACAGGCCTCTCCTTCCCTCCCAGGCTGCTCCCGCCCCTGCCGGCCCCTCACACAGCCCGGGAGTAAGGCCTGTTCCCGCCAAACCTCCTCCACCACCGGGGCCTCCCGGCCCCAGCCCAGGCCGCCCCAGCGTCCACAGCAGTAAAGGGCGGCTTTGACCTTGGTGCCTTCGCGTACCCCTCCCCTCAATTCCCAAACCCCGAGGGGCCTCGGCGGGGGAGACCATGTACCGAGAACCGAGAACGGAGACCAGCTTCGGAAGCCTAACGTATCCCTGGATTTCACGCCGGGGGCGGCGCTGAGCGTGGCGCAGGGGGGAGCGCCCCCACATTCCCTCGGGTTCACCCGCGGCCCGCGGGGCCTGGGCTCCCCCTCCCCGCGGGGTGAGCGCACAAAGGCCGGGAGGCCGGCCCGGGGGAGCCGCGATCCAGGCCCGCCCAGGTGAGCGACGCGGGAAGGGGGCGGGGAGCAGAGGTGGGGAGGGCCGTGTCCGCGCTGTCTGCCCCCCATCTTGGCCCCCCAGCCCCAGCACGCCTCCTCTCCACGCCCCTCCACGCACCACCTCCAGGCAGGGCGGGGTCTGCAGCCGCGCAGCCCGCCACCCACCTGCGCAGGGCGCCGCCCACTTCCCAGCGCCACATGTTTGGGCAACATAATCTTGCTCTCGGAGTTTAGAGGTGGTGCATTCATACCTCCTTGGACGCGAGTACCTTCAAACAAGTTAGTTAACCTCTCTGTGCCTTATTTTTCTCATCTATTCAATGGGGACTCAATAGGAACTAACCCTTTGGGCGGCTGTGAGGATTTAAGAATGCAGTCCTGCCTTCAGCGGTGTCATAGCAAGTATTCTATAAATGTCTGAACTGTTTAAAAAATTCCTATTATTACTGCCTAACCCTAAATATGGCCCTCCCCTCCACCCCTCAGACCACTTATTCTGGCCACAGGGCATCCCCTTTTGAGAGATGAACTGGCTGGGCAGAGAGGACTTGGCAGCATCAGCAGATGCGAGATGCAGGGCTTGGCTCATCGGGGGAGACCACAGGCTACCCCAGAAGGGGGAAGGGGCCTGGCCCAGGAGACAGCATCCACATAAACTGATGCTCTCGCGGTCCCCCCTCCATGCTCTGCTCACCCACCTTAGGCTCCAGGCCAGCCTTTTCGGACTTCTGATCCCTTCCAGCCAGAACTTAGTCTAATTCTTTGTTGTGAGGCTGTCCTGTGCATTGTGGGGTGTTTAGCAGCATCCTTGGCCTCTACTCACTAGATACTGGTAGCACCTCATCCCCCGGTTGTGACAACCAAAAATGTCTCCAGACACTGCCAGATGTCCTAAGGCTGTTGGTGGGGGTTGGCAGCAAAAATCACCACTGCAACCTGATTCCACCTGGATAAAAAAAGGCCCTGGGGGTGAGGGTGCCTCATCTCTCCCCTCCCCCAAGGTTCATGAGTCTTACATGGGGGCTCCTGGGTCTTGCTCATCTTTTTATGCCTAACGTTTGTCACAGTGGTGGCTGTTGTGTGTGTTCAGTTTGTGATTGTTGGATGGATGGATGGATGAAGGCTTGGGTGGTTGGGAGGAGGCCCCCAGGGGAGGGGAGACGCTGAAGGCAGCTATATCTGCTGGTTTTGTGTAAGAAGGTGATGCTGCCTCTCTGTCCCAACCCCTGGCAAAGTCATTCTACTCCCAAGGACTCTGGCAAATACACAATGAGTTCTTGAGGCAGGGACATTTGATGGGACATTTTCCTTCCCTCTTCCCTTCATTAACAGAGCGCGAAGTCATGGAGTCTTCCAAGACCTTCATGAGACACCTACGGATCACACCAGGCTACAGTGGTAAGTGGTGACGTGCCCTGCGGACATGCCTAGCAGGAGAACCTTGGTCCTGGTCACTATGCCTGCCTTGGGCCACTGTCCATATCTGTCTGGCCAACTGGGCCAGTACAAGCACTTGAGCTTTTAAGGGACTTATTGTGAGCACTCTATTGCTGAAGGTGGCTGATAACTGTTACCGCACCAGGTCCATTTTTGCCCAGAAAGCCAAACACCGAGACGATGAGATTGCAGCAGAGAGAGGGTTTAATCACAAGGCAGCCAAGTGTGGAAACAGGAGAATGAATCTCAAATCCGCTTCCCCAAAAATAGGGACTCAGGGATATTTATGGGGTAGGGGGCAAGCTGGTCTGAAGTGGAGGAGAGATGAGGTAATTGATCTGCGCAAGCGTAGTCAGACTTCATGCCTCTTCGTAGGACGCATGTTCACAGAATGGCAGCGTCAGCATGCCCTGAGGGTGGAGCTTTAACCTCCCCACATCAAAAGGTCGCTTATTGGACACATGTCTGCGTGGGCTCAGTTGATGGGTTGGTGGAATCAACCGGCCTGAAGTGGACAAGGGGTTCAATTCCTGAAAAAAAGAGCTCAAACACCCATTACCATGGGGACCCAGGCTCCAGGGAGCTGTTATCTATAGGAACTTAGTAGGAGTCAGACAGCATATTGCCTAAACAGCACAGTTAACAGTGGCTAAGTCTATCATGCAGATTTAAGTCCTCGCCTTCCATTCTGATGCATTTCTAGGTAAGGCCATCTCCCCTCTTCTTCCTGGTACAGGGAAGAAGATACCTTTACAAATGGAGATTTCCTTTACAAATGTAAATGTCTCTTATAAAGGGCAACCAGAACTAAGAATGGGCTCAGCAAGGACCCTCCCAGATACCCAGAGATGTCTATGGGGATGGCCTGTTCTGGGGGCAGGCCTCCCATCCCAAACTCCTTTGGTTAGTTAGTGGGGGTGGGGGCCGAAGTGTCTTTCAGGCAGAGACGTATTTTGAGGTGGTCAATTCCGATCTCCCATTGTTACTAGCTGCTTAATCATCAGTGGCTGTTTGCTGGTTTCGTAACTGTGTTCTGATTAATGGAGAGAGATAACTTAGGCTAAATCTCCCAGGACATGGCCTGGTATGCAGGAAGCACTTAATTAATGTCCATTGAGTGCATTTGGACTAGGATAGACACCGTGCTATGGGGATAGACACAATGAATAAGCTGAGGCCCTGTCCTTCGCAAGTTGGGCTTTCTCAAGTCTTGCACTAGGGCTGTTCTTATGGTCCATTCCTTCCTGTGTCCGTAGAGGAATGGTGGCCAACTGCACTGGCTTGCCTGGAATGGTCCCGGTTTTAGCACTAAAAGTCCTACTTCCTGGGAAACCCCTCAGTCCATGGCAAACCAGGACAATTGGTCACTCCACCTAAAGGCTTCTTCTCCTCAGGCTTCTGGGCTACTAAGAATTTACTAAGTCACATCCCTGTGACAAACCCAGTGGTCCCCATAGGCCCTCAGCTCTCACATACAGGTGTTCTTAGGAGGGGAGTTGTGTGGGGAATATTCCAAGGTTGCCCAGCCTCTCCCTGGTCCTACTGGTTGGTTAAGAGAACGGGCTTTGAGTTCTAGCAAACTGAGGTTCCAGTCTCTGCTTGACCATTGTGTACGTGATTGTAAGCTACTTACCTGTCTATGGTAACTAAACATTTCTATAAAATGGGTGTTTTAGTTCCTGAGGGCTGCTGTTGAAAACAACAGATATTTATTCTCTCACAGTTCTGAAATCAAGGTGTCTGTAGGGCCGTGCTGTCTCTGAAGGCTCTAGGAGAGGATCCTTCCTGCCTCTTCTGGCTTCTCGTGGCCCCAGGTGTTTCTTGGCTCTTGGCAGCATCACTCCAATCTCTGCCTCCATCTTCACATGACTCGTCATGTGGCCTTCTGCGCTGTGCTGTGGGTCTGTGTTTCTCAGATCTCTCTCTCCTTTCTCTGGTAAGGACACCAGGTGTTGGATTTAGGGCCCACCCTAAATCTAGGAAGATCTCATTTCCAAATCCTTAATTACATCTGCAAAGACCCTATTTCCAGAATAGGTCACATTCACAGCTACCAGGGTTAGGAGTTGGATTTATCTGTTAGGGGGTCACAGTTAAACCCACTACGTGGGATAATGATAGATTCCTCGTGAGATTGTTGTAAAGATTAAAGGAGCCAGCATACATGACCTATTTAAAATGTCTTGGCCCTTAGAAAGACTCCATAAAAGTAGCTTGTATTCCTATGGGTGTGCATATATACAATTGTATAACATCTACACAGATCAAAGTAGGTCCTAATAGAGGAGAAACCACTCTGGCAGAGCCCCCCTGTTGTGGGGTCTCCTGCATGACATTACGGTGTCTTTTTTTATTTTATTTTATTGGGGTCTTATTAGCTTACAACATAGTGTAAGTTTCAGGTGTGTGTCACTATATTTCAGTTTCTGTATAGACTTCATCGTGTTCACCACCAAGAGTCCAGTTTTTATCCATCACTGTACATATGTGCCCCTTTACCCCTTTTGCCCTCCCCCTACCCCCTTCTCCTTTGGTAACCACTAATCTGTTCTCTTTATCTATGGGTTTATCTTCCACATATGAGTGAAATAATACGGTATTTGTCTTTCTCTGTCTGACTTATTTCACTCAGCATAATACCCTCAGAGTCCATCCATGTTGTCGCAAATGGCACAATTTTATCTTTTTTTATGGCTAAGTATTCCCTTGTATATATATACCACATCTTCTTTATCCATTCATCCGTTGATGGGCATGTGGGTTGCTTCCACATCTTGGCTGTTGTGAATAATGCTGTGGTGAACATAGGGGTACATATATCTTTTTGAATTATTGATTTCATGTTCTTTGGATAAATACCCAGCAGTGGAATAGCTGGATCATACGGTATTTCTATTTTTATTTTTTTGAGGAATCTCCATACTGTTTCCATAGTGGCTGCACCAGTGTGCACTCCCACCAGCAGTGTATGAGGGTTCCCTTTTCCCCACATCCTCTCCAACACTTGTTATTTCTTGTCTTATTAATTATAGCCATTCTGGCAGGCGTGAGGTGATGTTTCATTGTAGTTTTGACTTCCATTTCCCTAATAATTAGTGATGTTAAACATCTTTTCATGTGCCTGTTGGCTGTCTGTATATCTTCTTTGGAAAAATGGTTGTTCACATCATCTGCCCATTTTTTGATCAGGTTGTTTTTTTGTTGTTGAGATGTATGAGTTCTTTATATATTTTGGAGATTAACCCCTTGTCGGATATATGATTTGCAAATATTTTCTCCCAGTGGGTGGGTTGTCTTTTCATTTTATTGATGCTTTCCTTTGCTGTGCAGAAGCTTTTTAGTCTGATGTAGTCCCATTTGTTTATTTTTCCTTTGGTTTCCCTTGCCTGAGTAGATGTGGTATTCGAAAAGATACTACTAAGACCTATGTCAAAGAGTGTACTGCCTATATTTTCTTCTAGGAGTTTTATGGTTTCAGGTCTTACATTCAAGTCTTTAATCAATTTTGAGTTAATTTTTGTATATGGTATAAGATAATGGTCTACTTTCATTCTTTTGCATGCGGCTGTCCAGTTTTCCCAGCGAGACTTTCCTTTCTCCAGTATATGTTCTTGGCTCCTTTGTCGAAGGTTAGCTGTCTATAGATATCTTTTAAATTGCCTGTGGGTAGGGGAGACGGGATGGTGGATGGAGGACTTCAAGATCAGCCTAGTAATCAAATTCTTCCAGAGGCAGCTTCTTGCAGGGTGCAGGGGATGGAGGTTCCTGCTTTCAACTCTGAAGCTAGCTTTTATTTACTTAGGGACAAAGGCAAAATGTTGGGCTTCCGTAATGAGAATTGTTTATTTTGCAGTTTAAAACCAAGTTCTTAACCAGTTTTTCCTCATTTGTTCTTTTAAAAAAGGGTTTTATTGTGACAATATTATAGTACTTAGGATTCAGCATCCAGTTTAAATAAATAGTTGTGTTTTATCCCAACTAATTGTAATGATTATATGTTAGTTTGTGGGAAATGGTGAAAAATTGTTCTAGGGGTGGGTCTCGCAGATAATGAATTTACCTTTTTGCGTAATAGGTCTCTGCTTTTAATAAGCCCGCAATTTCCCGATGGTCCAATAAGAAAGATGCCAAATTGCATTTGGGAAGTGTCAAGGAAAATAAGCTTTCTCTCTAAAAAGATGAATAATTTCAGTTACTCCTCAGGCTATCATTTTGGCCCATTAAATGCTTTCCCCATTTGCCGTGCAGGCTGACATCAGGCTTTGCTATCAAAGAATATTACTGTCATCTCCTTTGTTGAAATGGGCCTTCCCTCTCCAGCGCCAAGGTCGTTTTTTGTGGCCTTGGGATGGCTCAGCCACAGTGGAAACAACAGCCCTGCTTGTATTAATGGCCTTTGGAAAAATGCAGCGTGGCTGGCCGAGGAAGAAATGCCAAGGGGTGGGGTGAAATTCTGGGGAGTTTAGGCGGGTTCTGAATTCCTTGCTGAAGGCTGTGATTCCGCCGGCTCTTGCAGGCTTCGTGCCGTACCTTAGCTGCCAGGGGACCTCCGGCGAGGACGACATGTCCCACTGTCTGAAAACTTTCCAGGAGAACACACAGCGATATAAAGACCAGCTGGAGGAATTTCGCTGCTCGGTGGCCACTGCCCAGAAATTGAAGCCCATCTGCTCCGAGGAGACGGTCTTGCGGGCACTCCACCAGTACTACCAGCAGTATCACCCCATGAGTCTGGGTACCGGCTCCCGGAAACCAGCCTCCCTTCACCCCCAGACCCAAGTGCAGGGCCTGGCAGGCCCGCTGAGCTGCCCCGGGGAGCACAGAATCCAGCATAGTTCCAAATCCCCAGGCAGCAGTGCAAAATGGAAAGACTCTATTTCTTAAATTGAGAAAGAAACATTTCCAGGGGGAGAGGGACCCAGGTCAGGGAATACGGTGCTGAGAGCGAAGACCGCTGGGCAAACGTTCAGACATCAGCTTCTGTCTCTGTAGCCACCTCGTTTTTGTTGCTTTCTCTATGCCGGGCACCATGGTTTCATTAACCACCCACAACAACCCTATGAGGTTGATCCTATCATTCTCAGAGATGAGGGAAGTGAGGCTTCCAGAGCTAGTGTCCCTAGTCTGAGGTCAGACCTGGGTTTGAAGCCAACTCCTCCAGGTACTAGCTGGGTGGGAAGGGGTTTTGCACCAAATAACAACCACAATAACAATGACAAAAACAACTAATGATATGACTACATAGTGTTAATAATCACAACAATGATTTGCCCTAGATCATTTTTAAGGTCTAAAGGCCTATAGGAAAAGTAATGGACTGATTACCTTTATTAGTATTACTATAATTGTTTGGGGACTTTTTAGGTACACATGCTAACACACATGTTTCTTGTTCTTTAAAAATTTCCAAGCTGTTACAAAGAATATCTGCCTAAGAGTTTGGGATTTAGCCTAGCTCTGCAACTATTAGTTGTGTGACCTAGGGGAGGTTGCTTCCCTTCTCTGGGCTACAGTTCTTTCATCCAGGGCAGGGAAAGATGGACTAGATGCTCCCTAGGGTGCCTTCCAGCTCTGAGGTTCTGGAACTCAGTGGCCTAATTCGATTCTTACAGCAACTGGGGGAGGTGGATAGGGCAGTAATCTTTCATCTCACAAATGTGAAATTGCGGAAGGTCAGCCACCCGGCTAGCCAGCCAGAGTCATTCACAACCTGAAGGCAGATTCCTGGTGCTGAGTCAGATGTGCTTTCTCCTGACCTGGATGCTTCTCTTGATTCCCTTATGTAAACTGTCAAACAGCAATGTCGGAAGCTTTTTCATTAGTCTGAGAAAGGAGCAGGATCTGTTTAAGAGCTAGAATTTGGGAATCAGACAGACACGGGTTTGAATCCTGGCCCTACCACTTCCTTGCAGTATGACCTTGGGCAAGTCTCTCTTAGCCTCTTCAAGGTCTCAGTGTCTTCCTCTGTAAAGTGGAGGGAATGATGGCACCAGCTTCTTATGGTTCGTGAGAGAATGAAGTGAGAGATGATACGGAGACCTCCTACCTAGGTGCAGGCACACAGAATCTAGAGGCCTAGGGGTTCCCCTGGGGCTGAGTGTTGGGGTGCCATCTAACTTGAGAGCACTGCCCACCATGTGGCACCCTCAGGAAGCACGGTGTCTTTACAGAATGCAAGTACGTAAAGAAGCCTCTCCAGGAGCCTCCAATCCCTGGCTGGGCGGGCTACCTGCCGAGAGCCAGGGTCACTGAACTAGGCTGCGCCACACGGTACACTGTCATGGCCAGAAACTGCTACAGGGACTTCCTGGACATCACGGAGCAGGCCAAGAGAGTGCACCTGAAACCGTATGAGGAGTGAGTCTGGCTTAGGGCGTAACTGCAGATGACAGGACCGAGGGGAAGAGCAGATCTTCCCAGGGTTTCCCAGATGCCCCCTCCCAGGACTAGGACTGCTTTTGTGTCTGCTTGGTTTTACAGAAGGGGCCTTGTTTGTAATTGGAGGGCCTTCCCAGTAGGCAGTCACCCTCTGCTCCCTACCTGCACCCATTCTGCAGAAGCCCTGCTTGTGGCCTTTGCTGGTTTGCAGGGAGAGGCTGGGAGTAAAAACCCACAGGGCCACCTGTCCTGGCAGCAACCTAAGGCCCAAGGGTGCCGAGGGAGGGAGATGGTAGGGCATGGCATAGGGTGGCTCTTGTGGCCTCAGTTTTCCCTTCTGTAAAATGGAGATGGTAATCCTTACCTTTAGGATAAATTGTAAGGATTAGGAGTAAACATCTCGTGCTCACACAGGACCTGCATAGATCATATTTATTCTTATTTTTATTATTAATAAAAGGATTAACTCTATGTCTTTCATTCTTACTTCAGAATATACGGAGTTAGGTCTACACAACCTCCTCCTGTTCCCTCTCCAAAAATTTTGCAGCATGAAGGGCTGCTGCCAAAATATCCGGATTTCTCTGTTCCAAGTAAGGGAGGACTTTCTTTCCTTCTTGCTGTTTTTACCAAGGGGATGAAATGTTTGCAGTAGTCTCTCTACTTAGCTGGGCCACCTGCCTCCAACTCCTGGGGATGGTTTCTCTTCCAGGTGGTAGCTGTCCTGCCCTTGGAAGACCCCTGATAGAGGATCCCAGACCTCCGGTGACGTATGGCTGTGCTCAGAGGCCAAACATGTCGTGCAACGGGAAGATTTATCTAGAGCCACTGTCCTCAGCAAAGTATGCAGAAGGCTAGAAGCAGAGAGCCTCCCAAGGAGAGGTGAACTTTCAGGGGGGCTCAGAAGCTTGCTGTTCTCACATGAGAATCAGCGCCTCACCCACACCCCAACAGGCACTAGGGAAATTTCATAATGTAAGAATTCTGTGACTGCCCTCTGCACCCTGACTAGTTGGCAACAGCATGTGATTAATGATAAAGACCTTTTATCATCCTGTGGGAATAAAGAGGATACTTCTCAGCATGCTAAATGTTTCTGTGGGATTTTTCCAGGTTATGTTGGCCTTGAGAAGGCCAGGGTGGGGCCCATCTCTTCCTAACTCCCGAGGTAACATTGTGCACCTGGACCAGGCTCTTACTGAAGCCCTAGCCCAGCCCTCTAACCGGTCGCTCCTTGTCTGCCATCTTGGGTCCTGGCGTGGCACTTCCCAACACTACACAGAGGCCATGGGCACCCCAACCCAGATTTTTCAGAATCCTAGTCCCCAGGAGAGCCCAGCTGGCAGGTGCAAGCTGTATTAGTTTCCTAAGGCTGCTGTTTGCTTACACAAACAGCACAAAATTAGTTTGCTGCACAAAATGGGTAGCATAAGACAACAGAAATTTATTGTCTCATGGTTCTGGAGGCTAGAAAGCCAAATTCAGGGTGTTAGCAGGGCCATGCTCACTCGGACACTTTAGGGGAGAATCCTTCCTTGCCTCTTCCCAGCTCCTGGTGGTTTGCTGGCAATCCTTGGCGTTCTTTGGTGCCTAACTCCAATCTCTGTCCGTTTCATCTCATGGTGTCCCTCTGTGGCTCTGTGTCTTCACATGGCTGACTTCTTATAAGGACACCAGTCACATTGGATTAGTGCCTACCCTACTCCAGTATGACCTCGTCTTAACTTAGCTAATTACAGCTACAATGACCCTATTTCCAAATAAGTCACATTCTGAGCTACTGGGGATTAGGACTTTAACATATCTTTTGCAGGGGACACAATTCAACCTATAACACCGGCTAACCTCCTCTTGCCGCTGACAGGCAGTCTCTCTGACCTCACTCTGCAGCCATTGGCACTCAGAAGGAATCAAAAGCGGTTCCTGGGGCAATGAGGCCATTGGCATCAAAAGGCTCAAAAATATGCTGAGCCAAAAGAGGCGGCAAGCTACTCCTGGGAGTTTTTCCCAAGGCGGGCATTTTCACCTGGGCTCCCTGGACCACCAGAGTTCCAGGGGTAGAAATCAGGAGTCAAATCTCTGACTTCAATGAGAAAAAAGTTACGCCCTTGTTTTCACTAACCTCCAAGGGAAATTTAGAATTGCCTTCATTTATGAATGTAGGCAACAAACCACAGTCGCACCTGTCACCTGAGCCCAGTAGAAGTCACAGATCTTTTCATGTTTGTTGCAGACACCTTGAAATCATGTCACTGGTAATCACTACTTTATAATTATTGTAGTTATTTGAGCTACTATATTTACTCTCTAGAATATTGTTAGTCAATATATGTATAAAGAGATACTTATATGGCTATTTCACAAACTTGTTCTTTTTAATATTTCAATAATATTTCAATGTAGTTAGTTTATTTTGTAGTCTCATGTATTTTACATTGTACATTTAAAATCGTTATTCTGAGGAGAGGTCCACAGGTTTCACCAGACAGCCAGAGGGTCCTGGCACAGAAGTGGTGAAGAACCCTTGTCCAGGGAAACAACCAAGGGTGTGTGTAAAGGGTAATTTTCCTACAAAACAAGGCAACAATCCAAACCCCATGGAACATGGGATTACAGTACATCCCATTATTAAAAAATAATGTGACAGAATAATACTGTTGTGGAAAAATATTTATGATACAGTACATGAAAAAAGCAGGCCATAAAATTACAATAATAGCAAATCCAGGTGTACATACACATACACACACAAACATGCACACCATAATCCTGCTTTCCGTTTAAAAAAAAAAAGAGGGAGGGGCCGGCCTAGTGGCATAGCGGTTAAGTGCGCGACTCCGCTGCGGCAACCTGGGGTTCGCCGGTTTGGATCCCGGGCACGCACCGATGCACCACTTGTCAAGCCATGCTGTGGTGGCGTCCCATATAAAGTAGAGGAAGATGGGCATGGATGTTAGCCCAGGGCCAGTCTTCCTCAGCAAAAAAAGGAGGATTGGCATCAGATGTTAGCTCAGGGCCGACCTTCCTCACAAAAAAAAAAAAAAGAGGGGAGGGGTAGAAAGAGCTCACCCATAATGCTTGGATGATGGTACTATTGGTCATTTTTCTTTTCTCATCTGTGTTTTTCCAATTTTCCATAGCCAACAGGTATTGCTTTTATAATCAGGAAAAAATGTTATTTTTTACATCCTTATTTGAATTGATTAAAAGATATTTTAATCTTTTAGAGATTGTATGTTTAAAGAGAAAAAGCCACATCTCAATAGAGGGTCGCATTCTGTTCAGAGCTGGGCAAAGCTCAGCGAACAGTCAGGACTTTTCTCCAGCTTTCTTAAAACCCTGGGAGAGTGACGTCACAGTCCCAGGAAGGAAACAGGAGGTAGACAGATCCCTCACCTGCCTGGGGTGGTGTAGTCCAGCCTGCTGCATCTCTGCTGGCCCCTCAGAAATGAGTGACACGGAGGGTGTATCTGCCTCGTCCCCTCTTCCAAACCCACAGAGTTTGCAGATGACTGCTCTGGGCTCAAGGTTATTGAGGTCGTTGCCCATGAAATTAAGGGGTGCCAGGATTAAAATGACTCTTTGCAACTGCCCTCACCTTGACCTCATCCACAGGATCATATTGTGCATCAATACTGAAGTCACTGATTAATTCATTTGGCACCAACCTTTAAAAGATGGCTTGAGCTGTAAAACAAAAACAAAAAACAACCACCCAATGACAGAGGTAACAAAATTGAATAAAGGCAATTTAAAAAATTGTTTAATGGTATCTAATTCTCCTACAACTTCGTGATTAAGATCACCAAGTTCCATGTGCAAATCTGTAACTCCTTTTGTTGAAGCAGTTCCGTGTCGTAATTCTTTTCCTTAATCTTTATCCTTTCTGTTTCTCCCTAGCCTATAATTTCCAGAACGTCGTCTGTCGGGGCAGGTAGAGAGGTGATTTTACTGCACAGCAAATTATCATTATTAGCACAAGCTGCATCCGTAATGAGCTCATTCTTGCCACTAAAAACAATTCCATTACCTGATAAGACAAAATTCCCTGGGTCTGGTAATGCTGAAGAAACGGGGGTGCAGGTTTGTATGTTTTCTTATGACAATGAGGCCTTTTGTTGGGACAGTTTGACTGTCTTGGCAATTGAAGTGCTCCTTTGAGGTCACTTCTTTCTCCGTCTATGCAAGAACTGACAGTTCCCCCAGAGGCTGGATATTGGGAGGAATGCCTGGGTCCCTGTGCTCACTCCCTATCCCACAGAAAGGTGACCGGCTGGCTCTATAGAGTATCTCAGTCAAGGCTTTAACTGCTCCAGCACAGCTGTGAAGTGTGTGGCCAGGAGCCAGATTCCCTGAACTCAGATTTCCACTCTGCTTTTTTCTGGCTGTGTGGCTGTGGAAGCTTTCCTTACCCTCTCCGAGCCTCAAATTCTATTTTATAAAATGAAGATATCAAAAGAGCCAACCCAATAGCGTGGGCATGAAGATCAAAAGATGAGGCAGGTAAACCTGGCCCACACAAGCGCAGTCAATATAGTTATCAGTTACCACTGGGCTGAAGGGAGCTGGGGAAATTGCTGACATGGGTTGAGGGTGGGGCTGTGACGTCTCTGAGCGCACACAGTGAGTTATTAACAGACAAGCATTCAGAACCCAGGGCTCCTGGCCCCTCATGATGTGCTCCTCTCACCGCTGCACTTTTCTTCCAGGGATTTCAGCTCGTGAGGCAGGCAGAACAGGTGTGACTGGCCAATAATAACAACAGCAGCAGCTGCTGCTAACGAGCTTGTTTATGTCAGGCTCCGGCCTAAGCCCTTTCCCTGGAATAGCTTACTTAATTAGTGTAAGTATTTCCATCTTACAGATGGGGAAACTGAGGTGCACAGAGGTGAAGCAGTTTGCTCAGGGTCACACAGATGGTAAGTGGCAGAGCCTGGATTTGAACCCAGGCAGTCTGAGGCCAGTATCTGCACACTTAACCTTCATGCCACATTGCTACATCCTCTGGGCCTGCTCTGTGGCCATTGTCATAGGAACATGAACTACTTCTAAATGGGTCATGGTTTCTACATCGAATCAATTCAGAAAGATAACAGATGAGAGGATAAATGAGAGGGATGATGAGTGTGACAGAGCCAATACAGTGTGAGTACGGATGTTGAGAGCTGAGTTTCAGGGTTCATGCCACGTAACTGCTGAATGATCCTGAGTGAGAAACAACCACTCCAAGCCTCTGTTTTCTGTTATAAAATCATAATACCTTCCTCATGAGATTTTTGGGCGGATTAAGTGGGATAACGCACACAAAGGGCATGGGATGGCATTTTGCAGGCATAAAACTCACAGGCCTTCTTCTTCCTTTTGACCAGGCTAAAGGTGCTAGAAAAAAGCAACAAAAAGGCAAAAGTCAAAAGGTTTGATTAAGCTGAAGATTGGATGCCCTCATCTCCCTGCCCTGTTCCTAGGCCTTGCTCATCAGCCTCCTATCCCACCCTAAGAGTTTCAAGAATTGGGGTCTTGGCTCCTCCTTTCCCAGAGGCCTCTGGGCTCCTTAAGCAAATTACTCCCCTCTCTCCAAATATCCAAAGTTTCCCCTGGTGCCCGGCCTAGAGTGAACACTTACAAGTGTGAGCTGTCATTAGGTAAGATGGCCCAGGCAGACAGAGCTCCCCTCTTCTGCCTCCTTGACAGCCTCTTTTTATCAGCTGAGGGGCTGGGTGTGTGGGGAGAGTAAGATACACCAGCCTCTATCAGTCTTCTAAAATCAGGCCCCGTTCCCAGAAAAAATACAAGTGGCCCCCCAAAGGAGGCTGATGTATCCCCAATGAAAGCTCCATGTCCATACTTGGATTCAAGCCGGATTTGTCTGGATTCTCCAAAGGCTGAGAAGGAGCGTGTAGGCTGCCTTTCCTCACCAACGTGGGGTACCATCAGAAAGGGGCACCAGGCACGCTATGGTCTAAAGGAGCTGGGAACCCAGCCCCAAGATCCATTAGGCCTTGAAGGTCACACCAAGGGCAACTCTCCCAGGGCCTTTCCTTCTGGCTGTGGCTTCCTTCCTCCTACAGTCCCAGACCTCGGCTCCAGGGTCTGGGTGTCTATCAGCTGGTAACAGACTCCTTGCCCAATGCCAGTTTACCTAAAACCACTTACATTTGCTTAAACTCATCCCAGTTTTGGTGAATGCTTAAAGTATTCTTTGACCTATTTGTCTAAGGGCGTTTCTGACTTATTTTGTAATTTGTGTACACGTATATCACATCTGCAGCTTTGTGGAGGTTGGCATTGTTTTTCTTGGTTGGTCTTTTTTTCTCATTTTATCTACTTATGAACGTTTTGAGGACCTTTTAGCCAGTGTGTCTAAAAACCCTATTAGATTTATTGTTGTGAATGCAAGATTTTGAGAGCTATCTCAGCCTCCTGCCTTGAAGGTGCCAACCCTTTTAACAGGACATAAATTACTATGGCCCTTCCTTCTAAACCAGGGGTTGAAAACTTTTTCTGTGAAGGGCCGGACAGTCAATATTTTGGGTTTCACTGGCCATCTGGTCTCTGTCGCAACGACTCAATTCTGCTGTTGTAGCAGGAAAGTAACGATAGACAATATATACATGAGGGTGGCTGTGTTCCAATAAAACTTTACTCATAGACCCCGAAATTTTAATTTCATATAATTTTCATGTATCATGAAATATTCTTCTTTTGAATCTTTAAAAAACCTTTAAAAAATGGGAAACCATTCTTATCTGGAGAGCTGTACGGATATAGGTGGCCCGTGGGCCCTCGTTTGCCGACCCCTGTTCTAAACCACAAATTAACCCCAGAGGATGGTGCTAGCCAGGATCTATTCCTAAGTGATTTATTTTGTAAGCAATGTGGGTCAAGCAGGCGCCCGCTTGAGAGAGACTGCTTTGGAGGATCTGGGAGACAGAACCCCCATGGGCCCAGAACACTGACAACGTAACCCAAACCCACTGCCAGGAGAGAGAGGGACAAGTGTGACGTGGGGTTCAG